CTATTTAAAGAAAAGAGTGATGTAGTTTTGGGTCCCCCAGAGATTCAAAGGCTTGTGCTATTGACTCCGAACGGAGCCTTGCAGATGACATTACATGATGGAGGAAAATTTATTAAAAAACAAAATGAACTTTATTTATTCTTTCGAACAACCTATTATTCGAGCACGAGAAAATACGGGTTTTTGCTTCCAGACCCAATTGTTGTTCAGTTCCAATACATCTGGATGCATTGCAACCTCCAGCTTCTTTAATGGACTTTATCATGCAAAGTAATAAATCAAAAAATTATCTTTCATTCATCAGTTCATAGTCTCTTTGAAGGATCCATGCGATTCATAAAACTGGTCACGATAATAATTTGTATATTTCGAATTGGAAAGTGTTTTTTTCTTTCTTAAAATAGCTGTTGTTGTGAACGCTTTCATGAAGGAAGTACTAATTATTTGGTCGAAATCGGAAATTATTCTGAGTTTTTTCTTGGAGAACTCATTTCCAAGCTGCAAGACCATTTATAGTAATCTTTCTAAGATTTTGACAATGTCGGTAAAAATTAGCGTTCATTGACCGTGGTTATCCAACATATCAATTAATCAAATTACTAAGTTTAGGTACTCGTTTGACGCACAATTTTACGTTCTTTAAATTCTTAAAGAATACGTTTTTCGCTTTGATACACTCTTTAGTAGTAATACATGAAAAAAAAAGATCAAGTAAATATGGATTTTTTTGCTTTTTCTCTTGGTGACCCGTGTTAGCAATTTAGTTTTTTACATGTCTAATCCCATATACAGAGTGCCTCTTAAGTAGAAGGAAAAATTTAAAGGAGTGATAGCAGAACTCAATAAATACAAAAAAGCTTATATAAACAATGCTTCGATTTTCAGCAGGAAATTAAAATATTGTGATTTTTTATGTTGAATAGGAAGTGATAACAAAAAATTATTTAATTTAAGTAATTAACGATTGCTTCACTGCAAACTAGACAAAATTTATTTTAAATGAAAATATAGTTTGCTTTAGTTAAAGCCATTTAAAGAGGGCCTTTGAGGGAGATGGGTAGTGGTGGGAGAAGAACCTGGTACAGAGATGCACTCCTCCCCCTCTGAGAAAATTGCATGATCCACCACTGTGATTACCATTCTATTTTCCTAACAAGTTGTCTTAGTAAAATCATAGACCGAATAGCTAACAATAAGAATGTGAAGAATAGAAAATATGGTCTTAATATAAAAGTTCTTTAACTAATGCAGTATGCTTTTCAACAATATTTTTTTGCAGACCCTTTCTCAACTCTAGATATTTTAAGTCGCTTTGTTTATGATTCTTAAAAACTATTTAAGTATCAAAAAATGCAAAAAGTATAGACCATCTTAGCCTATAACCCGGAAGCATTTATATATATGTATTTTTACAACTTTTCTTTAATCGACCTTTGAGTATTAAATTTAAACATAACCATTTAATTGGGAATAAGGTCACTTATTAGTTATTTAATAAACTGCTAAATGTTCATTGACGTTTTGATCCCGGCATTTTTCTTTTTATAAGTTAACAATGGGATCCTCTTCAAATTTTTAAAAATTAAGCTACTCAGTAGCTTCATATATGTGCTGGTGGACGGTGCTGAGACTGTCGGTGTGTCCCTGGCCTGAGGTATCGAAGCTCTATTTTTAAAACTTTGAAGAGGATCCCATTGTTAACTTATAAAAAGAAAAATATCGGGATCGAAACATCAATAAACACAAAGGAAATGAACATTTAGCATTTAGTAGTTTATTAAATAATTAATAAGTGACCTTATTCCCAATTAAATGGTTATGTTTAAATATAAATATATGTGTATATATATATATATATATATATATATATATATATATATAAAACAATAATTACTTTGAAATAAAAAGAAAGAAATTAACTACCTTTATGAAATGATGTTCATGAAGTCATATTAAATGTAATTTCAGGAACAATAATTTTTTTCATAAGAGATGATTATATTTTACCATTTTGGGAGAGGAGGGCTTCAGCCCAAAAAGCCCCCTCCTCTCCCATAGATCAGCCTGTGCATCTTAGGACAAAACTGTTTTAGTTTCCCTGATAATGGCCTGTGGTGAGAATAATAATGATTATGTCACTACAAAAATTCAAAAGTTTTTCCTATGTCCTCCAGAAATGAGTAATTTGTTTAATTTCCGACTACTTTTGTTTATCACGTTAACAAACTAACTTGTTAAAATTTTCAAGTTTGCCTCAAAGTCAATAAATTTAACTGACTGTGTCACAGGATTAGATTTTTTTTCTAATTTCTCTTTTTCCTCAGTTAACACAGCGGAGGTGTTCCATGAGATTCCAAAATATGTAAATTTGATAAATTGAATTTAAATAGCTGAATTAATTTCCCTTGTAGGGTTGCACGTTCCCCCCCAAGGTCCTTGACACAAAAACCTAACCCCCTCCTCCCAATATATTTTATTTCTCACCTTTTCTTAAAAACAGAACAACCTAAGGTAAATTTAGAAAGATCATATACAATTATACTTGCTGCGGTCTTGTCGCTTAGTCTGAAAATTCATAACCCCGTCGAAATTTGCCCCCTCAAAAATTTTTATGGTGCAACTTGTGCCATGGAATCCCACACTGATTAATGTGGAGTGAATAAGAAGAAGACATAAGGAGTTTTTAACTGGGATGATTTAATACTACCATATTTTTGATGCTGAATACTAATTGGAGATTTACAAACTCATTTTTTTTTTTCTAGAAGTAACATTTGAAATTTAAAAAAATGTGTTTCAATGTTCATATAAAGTGGCACTTCCGGTGAGCCGATTTTAACAAAGAAGTTGCTGTCACATCGGGCCCATATACAAACATTAAATACTTAATATCAGTTTCTTACTACTTTTCGTTTATGAGCTAGACTGTTTAAACAGTCTCACACACAGACCATTTTGCGACACTTGGTTATTTGGACTCAGAGGACCTCAAAACATGCATTTCCGTTGAAAACTGAGATTCGAAAATTTTCACGATCGCAATACTAACCCTAGCTATATATTACATATATACATAAGTGAAAGTAAAAAGTGGAACATTACAATTTTTTATTCTGTGCTAAATGTAATGGAAACTACCTTATAAAAAAACAAATAGAGACCTCAAATCAGTGTTCTTTATCCTTAAACACATTCCAGGTAATCATTCTTTTTTTTCACAATTAAAAGGATTATTTATTCCTAGTAGAGTTAGTCACATGGGAAGATTAGACTATTAATTATTTTTTGGGAAGGCTTATGCGGACATGAAGTGCAAAAGTGCATATATTGTAAATAGCTCATTAAGAGTAAAAATATTTATTTTGATTTGATCATATGTTAAGTGTATCGCATAATAAAAGCTATTATTAATATTACTGGGATTATATATGAAGATTACTTATACCATTACTGTAACTAGTACTGATATCTATCTAAGGGATGCCAGTATTAAATTTATTGTATAAGGGGAAGAGGAGGAAGACTCTCCTTCAATATTTTCATCATTTTTTTATCGGTAAATATTCGCCATGTAAGGACCACTACATTGGCTTAGTTACTTAACTACACTTCAGATCTTAGCCACATTAGCAAGTTGTTTGCACACATAGTATGTGTCATTAACATATCAATGCAGATTGATTTTCTGAAGTGTTTTGATTTTGCAACAGTAATTATTAGAAGTGATAAAGTGTTGTCAAAAGAAAAAAGAACTGATAATATTCTCTCACTTGAATAATAACGTAGCAAACCAACATATATGTTATTTATTAGGAACTTATCTTATTTAAAAATATAACACTGCACTCACAATATATCTATACTTTCCTGAACTATGTGTATGTGTTTTGTCAAGATTTTAAATCATCTATGTCCTTCTAATCAGAATAATAATTTTAATATGTAGATGGTAAACACAACTTACAGTTCAAGATACTTCTATACCCTCATTTATCAAACATATAAGTATTGCATAACCTTTATATTGGAAAATCAGCTCATAGTCTAAATATGATGGTAATTAAAAGTACTACACTAAACATAAAAACACCACAGGCTATCTAAAAATGTAGTTTGAGTTTGATAGAAAACAAAAAAAAATTAAGAAATTGTAGTAAGAATGGCAAATGATTTTGAGAGAAATCTGTTTTCAAGACTAAGAAAAAAATGAGACAGAACAAAAAAGTAACAAGATATCAACAATATGAGTTAGTTGTTAACAGTACCGAATATTTAGGGACTGATTTTACTTCTATAACTTTAACAATATCAATATTATTTAAAGTTTTAATACAATGTTATTAAAATGAACTATGAGAATTTTTTTTTGTTTATTATAATGATTTAGAGTTTGAAATAATCCTGTTTCAAAAAAATATATACTCAACAACAGAACAATCTTTATCAGAACCCCATTTCTACAAGTATAAATTAAAAAATAAAAAGGTTCTCTTTAGATAGTAATTAAACATAACAGCTGATGAGTGCAATAAAATATGGAAAAATAAATTGCAAATTGCAAATTGAGCATTATAAAAATACTAATATTTAACAACTTTATGGTAAACCATATAAAGCAAAAACATTTGTGCAAGATAACATGTATCAATGAATTTTTTTGTTCATTTTTGAATACTGATTTGAAATATATGTTGAAGTAATTAAGATTATTGAAGATTGTACCTAAAATAAAAATGATTTCAAAACATAACATCAATAATGCATGTAATTAACAAGCAGCATCCATCTTTTAAATAAGAGGCATACAAAAGTGGCCATACTTATATTCTCTATTCAAAGAAAATTATCAAAATATTTTTAATAAATTTCTTTTAGCTTCTAATTCTAAGCATAATCCGAATTTGTTTAATAGGATCTTTGTTATTCATTTTGAAAGACAGAAAAGATATCAATTTTTGATTAGAAACAAGAAAAAAAAAATAAGGATGGGTCAATTTTTTTTGGCCACTCAGTATGGTTACTTTGTCGCTTTTAAAAACAGTTTTTCAGGGTAAAGAACCTCTACAAAATTAAATATTTACTACTTCTATAAAGATTATAATACAAAAAAAAAAAACTAAGATGAGGAAAGGTGACAAAAATAAATATTGACTCTTTGAAAACCCAAATAAGTAACAAAATATTGTTCTTTAATTTTATATGAATTTGAGCTTATTAAATTTTGATAGAAAAAGAAAACAATCACAAGATTTCTGGCCTTATAAAATTATGATACAATATTTCACACGTTCAATTGTTAAATACAGTTATTGATAATTTCAAATTTGTACTGTTGTTAAAATAGTATTGACCATCTTTACAATACATATAATTCAAATATAATCTGTATTTACATCTATTTACTAGCACTAGATTTTTGAAATCTATTAATTACACACAATTTTTCAAGTCACTTCTGAAACTGTACAATATTTACATTACATTAATAAACATTATATTACATATATATTACAATTAAAAAGTTATCTAACTAAATATTGAAAACGTTATTCTTCCTCCCCATGAACAATCGATAAAAATCGGTCGAGATCAACTTTATTTAGAAGTTTCGCTCTACTGTCATGAGCCTCCTGAAACAATCAAAAACAAATTAATATGAATTAGTTTGAATTTAACGAAATCATCTATTATATAAAAATTTCAGTTGCAAACATTCTCAGTTACAAAGGAAATGTAACACTGATTTTGTTGAAAAATGCAAAACTTAAATGGAAAAACTTGACCATTGGTAGTATATTTGAGTTGATAGTGTTTCAAGTGATAATAACAAAAAAAAAACTTTTAGTAATTTATAATTGATCATTTAATAGTTTTAAAACCAAAAAACCTTACTATATTCTTTGGAGAACCATTGATTTATTTTTATGAATAATCCATGTTCTGTAAAGAATTAAAAAGAATTTCTGAATAAAAATGTGCTACTTTCTAAATATTATGGCAACTAAATATATGTTTTGTTTAAGATAAATAAACATAATATGTATTAAAGCAGTTTTCCATATAATTAATTTTACATAACGTCAACATATGAAATTAAAAAATACGTAAATAAAAAAACTTAAAATATTTACAGGTAGAATTTTGGTCAGGGTGTTGTTAAAGATAAAAGTACAGCCAAAAAGGCTTTATTTTTTTTTTTCGATTTTTGGCCTACACCAGGTTATTTCCGTCTATTTCTTTCTTTAAACACTTTCATAGTTTCAATAATTATTGGTATTGGGAAGTATGTAATATGAGTTAAAATATTATTTACAGTTTCCTCACAAAATTTACAGATGAAGCGTGTTTTTATTTAAATTTATTTTAAAAAATCTGGATATACTTTCATTTCATAGAGCTCAATTAATAAAAATAAAAATTTAATTCATAAATTAGTAATGACAAAAAAAAATTTGTACCAGGTTCAAGAAAAGAAATTATATGAACTTACCAGAGAAATAACAGCACTCCTACTTCCTTCTAAGCATTTCCTCTTGCTGTAAATAAATAAGATAAATAATATTGTACAAGATTGATCCATAATTGTAATGATATAAGAGATCTTGAAATTACAAATAATAGATTTATACAACTTACTTAAATTAATATATATAATTGATTTAAAAAAATAAAGCATGATAGAAGTTTATAATTAGTAATAATCATATTTTTAGCACGGAGACCACAATTTTGACAAATGTATTGTTATTAAGAGTGGGAATAGTAACTACCAGGCATGTAAATATGAAAACCAAAATTCATAAATAGATGGCTTCAGTAGTTAAAAGTAGTTACTGTTAAGTCGCATTATTTTGCTTCTTCGACAGCTGAAGATTTTCAACTCATAACAATATAAGTTTGAAGTAACAGCATTGTTTTAATAATGCTGAACATTTCGAGATTTGTTTCTACAAACTGTGATTTGCTGACTGTATTTGTTTTTAGTTATCATTTAAAGAAAACTGCTGCTACTAATCAAAGTGTTTTAAGTGGTTTAATATATTCAAAAGATGCAATTTTGACATGGGAAATGAATAACGTAGAACAAGAGTGATCTACTATGAGCTGCTAAAACCTGGGGAAACTGTTAATACTGAGCACTGTAGAGAAACGATCAATTTGAATCAAATATTGTATGAAAACTACTCAGAATATAAAGAAAGACAACACAACATGATTTTTCTTCATGATAATGCATTATCACACAGGGATATCAGTGAAGGAAACGATTGAGGCATTAAGTTGGGAAATATTAGCACATGCAGTTTATACACCAGACTAGGCTCCATCTAACTACCATTTATTTGCATCAACGTGACACATACTTGCTCAGCAATGCTTTAATTCTTATGGAAATGAACAAGAATGCCTTGATGGCTGGTAAGCTCAAAAGAGCAACAGTTTTTCTGACACGGCATAAATAAATTATCAGAGGGATGGGAAAAATGTATAGCTAACGATTGACAATTATTCAAATAAAATATTTTTTTAACATTTTTATGCAACAAATATACATTTTTTATTCGAAAATTGCAGGTTCATATTTACAAACCTGGTATTTTAAACTTTAACTAATATTCTAAAGAGTGTTATGTCAAAAGTTAATAACATTTTTAAACGGAAACAACTATGAATATGCATTCTAACAATAGTTATAAAATAAGAATAATATGGAACAGAATTTGACAACATAGCTAGTAAACCAGATCCTGATTACATTATTAGAAATAAAGAAACTGAGAAACTTTTCTCGAGGGAACCAAAATGAAATCTGCCTTAACCTCTGGTATTTGAGCAGACCAAGAAGTACTTTGACTGTGCCTTTGTAGATAAGGAACAAGTCATGGTGAATTGTACGAACCTCATGTAGACCTTACATTTAAAGAAAACTGCAGCAGAATCACTTCTACGAAAGACTACATATAATTCATGTATACCTGGTAACATGAAAAATATAAATAAATAATTTAGTTAAAAATTTAATTATAAATTGAATTTCGCTAGTAAAGTTCTGTCTGGGAAGTACTGACCTCTATAGTATCCTAGATGCATTACTATTAGCGATAAGGGTTTACCAGCACAGGCTAGAAGTTGTTCCAGTAAAAGCATCATGGAGGAAATAGTGAAATGAGTCAAATTTAGTAGAATGTAATAATGGATATAAAACTGCCTAAAAAAGAATTAGAAAAAGAAACATTTATTGTTTAACCTAATGTTACATGCTTTGTTAAACCTCTATGTCTCCAACATAATAAAAGAAATATTACCTTCTTCTTAAAAGTTGATGTACTGTACCAATTTTGTACCTTAAAAGTTTTGTTCTCAGTGTCATCTCAGGAGATTTGGTCGAATAGACAAATTTATAAAAGAACTGGTCTAAACAGTTGTCCATATATTTTTCTCAATCCACAAAAAGTAAATAGACATTTAGTCAATCAAATTAATTTAAGTCATCCAATCCCTCCTAATGTCCTTCATACCGAATTCTCCGAGCTCTTTCAATTCAAATCCTCTGTTTGTTCCCGGGCTTCTGATTTATACATAATGGCCCAACGGATCGCTGCTATAGACAGATTGTTCATTACCCGATCCTCATCCCTATGAAACTTCATCCCTTCCCACATCCGTCAATCTAATACAATACCCTTCCTACCTTTAAATCCTGCCTGTTGAATCATTTCTTGTCCATTCAGTCCCCATAAAATTGTAAATAGATCCAACTGTAAATATGTATATAAATTATTAGTTCGTTCTTCTTATTTTTACTTCATGTTTTTTTTTTCTATTTTTATTTTATATTATTAACAGATTAAAATTAGGAAGTCTCTTTATTTTTGTTTATATATCTCTGAGGCTTCTTAGCCCACATTTCTGTCTTTCTGTATTATCCTAAAGGGAAACGTCCCAGAATAAATAAAGTATTATTATTATTAGTGAGGCCACTTACAAAACATTATGGGACCCTCCTTAACGAAGAAAGAGCAGTTTATTGCATAAAAGGGCAACACACAGGAAAACCCCAAGCCGGACCAGCTCCAGGACCTGAGGGCTTATATATGCAGTATTTAAAGGCCGGTGGAGGTAAGATGACTACGCTTCTTATCAATGTGATGAGTCCGAGAGATGACTGGCTGAGATCTAAAGAGATATCCCACGTTGGAACACCGGAAATAAAATAAAAATTCACTTAGAGAGAAAAAAAATTTATTGAAGACCATACTATACTTTTAAGAAAAAAAAAATTTTTTTTTTGCTCTATGAGTCTGTATCTATTTGACGGTGATATCCCCCGACTTGAGTCTTCAAACTGTACAAATGACTAAATTCCAGCTTAAGATGGTTATTAGGAAATGATCTTTCCATGTTTTCTCCATTTCTAATACCTGACAATAAGACTACCTTCTTCATATCAGAAATATATTCATTATTACACTCTATTAAACTTGACTCATGAATTCACTATTTCGTCTTTGGAATGACTTATAGTCCGTGCCGGTAAACCCTTATCGCTAATAGTAATATAACTATGACACTATAGAGCTCAGCACTTCCCAGACAGAACATCACAAGTAAATTTCAATTTATAATTAAATTATTAACTAAATTATTTGTTTATATTTTTCATGTTACAACCTGGAGTTCTACAAGAACTGATTAGCCGATTGACACAAATGAAAGTTCACCTAGCAGCCATTAAGAAAGCATGCTGAAATTGTAATCTCAAGAATAAAAAAGGTACAGCATACTACAGTGAAAGTAAAGAGAAAAATTCATGACAGAATATCTAGTTGAAAAGAAATTGGAGATGGATAATTGATTCCAAACAATTAACAATAAAATGTGCAGCCTCCAATGAAAGAAAAGAGGGATCAAGAAACATTTTATGAAGAATTAGAGAGAGAGAGAGACCCGAGGTTGTCCCTCCATAAATGACAATAGTCACAGGAGATTTCAATGCTCAAGTTGGTAAAGAATTGTTTTTACTGACAATTTCAATGAATAGTCTTCATTAGAGAACAAATGGTGACAGAGAAGGAATGTTTAACTTGATGATCTCTAACTCACTGGTTATTATGATTTCTATATTCCGGTATAAAGATATGCAAGCAGACATGGCATTTGACTAACCAAATCTTTGTAACTAACTCTCATTTCAATAGTATTTAGGAAATCCTAAAATTCCCTTCAGCATTACAAAATAAAAGAAAAGTCAACAAACAACCGGCAGAGATGATAAAAGATGAATAAAATAAAGGTGTTTCTCCAAGAGAATAGAGGAAAGAATCAGAAATATAAATGAAGATGGGTGGACAAGAGAGGCACATAGGAAGTGTACTAAATATATATATGAGGGACTGCTAACAAATATCACAAAGGGATTTATCAAAAAAGACGAAGTTGAAATAATGAATGTGGAGAGGTAATCTGATCATTTATTGAAGTATGCTTTCTATTTACTATTTACTGCCAGAACAGGTATTCATAATGAAGGCATTGACACCAACGTGTTCATTACCTCAGTAACAATTGTAATGAATCAGTTAAACCAGGAGCTCATATTTAAATCAAGAATCTATGGTCAAAACATTTAATAAGCAATTAAAAATCAAAATAAAACTTACACTTCTGAAGAATCAGATAGTTCACCATCCTCCCTGTCAGCAGCTGAGGGTAGTTTAAAAGTTCTACCGTGCGACTGAGACTGTGACCTTGAGTGGGATGGCTGATCGTCTACCACCAGCCTCTGACTGCTGGTAGAGCACCTTTCCTTCTCACCTATACAACTTCTTTCAGCTGAATATGTACGGTTCACGTCACTATGTTTTTCATCACCTTCGCTACCAGATTTTGAACTCGTAAAACTCTCATTAACATTGGAACACATTTTATGTTTGCTGGATTGAATTTTTTCTTCCAAAGATCTTCGTTCTTCTTTTTTGCTATTTCTTCTAGGTTCAGGAGAGCTGTGTCTAGACCTTTTTTTGTCATAAGGGGAATAATGATCATAATCACGATACCTGCTATCGTGATGACTCCTCATGTCTCTGTACTTTTTTCTCGGAAAGGAATCCCTTCGATCAAAAGTGTTTTTGTACCTAAAAAATTTATCCCTGGCCCTTTCTCTAATCCTTACATCTCTATAACTGCCATAACTTCTATTGTGGTCTCGTTTTTCTTTTTCATCCTCATCACTAGATGCAGATCTGTTCCGTTTTCTATTTCTTGTACTACTCCTAGGACGAATTCTTTGGTCAGTTCTTGGTGGCTCAATCTTCCTGTCATCTTTCTTACTGTGTGAAGCAAGAGGCTGACTTTCACCCAAATGAAATAAATGAAAAATGGGACTCGATTTCAACTCCTTATTTAAGTAGTTCCCCGATTTGTCAACATCCAAAGTAAAAGAATAAACATAACTGTCCAAATATTCTGAAATAGCTTGGTTTCTACTTAGGATTATTTTTTCCTCTGACTCAGACAATTTTGATTTTACAGTTTCACTATAAATATGAATAACTCTTTCATTCATATGTGACTCATGGTCATTTTGGGGTTTAACATTTAAATTTGTTTGGTCTCCAATTTCACTAGTAGTGTCAGAGACTTTCCTTGGATCATTTGCTGTCTCTGTCTTTTCGACACTAACTCGTTCATTGGTCTTTGAAGATGAGGCAGTTGACAGTAACGAACTACTTTTCTTTCCAACTAAGTCATTTCCACTTAGGGGAGATTTTCTTGCCTTTTGAGACTTAGTTAAATGGTTATCAAGTTTCAAACTCTGATTACTTTCTTCACTAAGATGTAGAGTTGGGAAGCTTTCACAACTTTCCTCAATTTCTTTTGATATTACTTTTGAGCTTTCTATTAGCTTATTGCTGCTGCTGCTGCCATCAGTCTGCTTGGAAAAAAAACCTTCTGAATGTTTAATTATCATAGGATTACATTCCACATGCTCTTCCTGAATGGAATGTTCAAGTTTCTTGATAGGTTCACCATCTTTCGACTCTTTTTCCGAGGTATTAAGTTTGACGACTGTTTCATCAATGTCACTTGATTCATCTGATGTTGATGATGAAGAATCCAACATTCTAATATTGACTAGCTTTTGCAACCTTTCTCTTGCAGTTTTCAACTGTACATTGCTTTGATCCAGCTCCACATCATTGTTAATAGAAGAATCAGAATCAGAAGAATTATCCGGACCAAACAGCTTAGCTTTAGTATCTTTTAATAGATGGCGAATTTCAGATTCCATTTCTTCATCCACTGATGATTTTTTAGGTTTTGCAATATTTTGTTTAGGAGACTTTTTTATAGATTTGTTTCTTTCTATACATGTCTTTTTCTTTGATGTTTGTTTCTTGGTTTCTCTTGGTCCCTGCTTTTTATCCATTTTTCCATCAATTCTTTTTTCTGAACTTTTAGTATCTGATTGTATTGAATGGTTACTATTCTCAAGATCTATAACATGTTCAGTGTCTCTTCCATCAAATGAGTTATCTGAATATAATTTAGGCACTCCTTGTGTTTGTTTGGAAACATTTCCCTCACTACTCTTATGTTGCTCTGTAATTTTACCTCTTTTCTTTTTAACTAGTGGTTCATTAATCTTATTTAATTTAGGACTCATTAATTTAATTTTGGGAGTTGCACAAGTTTGTTTTTCAATAACAGGATTTGGCAAGGTCTTTGTATCAATATCAATATCTTTAGATGCTTCTACAAGAACTTTATTTTTTTCACTACAATCATTACTTTTGTTCTTGGAATGATCTATAACCAAAGTTGGAGGTTTGTTAACATTTATATCTGATTCTAAAGGAGTGTTTTCTTGATTCGTTGGTTTATCTTGATTAGTTTTCTGTGAAACAATGCCTTCTTCAGGTTTATCATTTTCTTTACCCGATAAATTTATGGAACCAATAGAACTTTCATCAGTCTTTTGAGGAGTCACCAATGACGAGTTCTTCGGTGTAGGTGGCAAAGTTGGGGTCACTAACACTGTAGCAGCAAAACTTGTTTCAGAAACTAAAACCTTGGTTAAAGGAGTCATTTCGACTGGAGTGCCAGGAGGAACAGGAGCAGACAAGAACTTGGCAGGCGTATGGAATAAATTAATGCTATTCTTACAGACTGATTCGAATGTCAATGCCTTATCAGCGACATTGGAAGAATCTTTCTTTGACTCGGGAGCTTTATTTTGTGTCGTTTGATTGTTACTACAACTGTCCGACTTAGGAGAACTTAACTTTTCTATATCTTGGGCAAGGTTACTTACATTTTTTTCTGTCTCCATCCTTGAACACTCTTTTATTAAGATATTTTCAAGAGAAGATTGGGATGTTGGACTAAATACAGAGGGATATCGAGTATTTATTTTTCCAAGGTGTGACATCACAAGCTTTGTTGTAGGAGTGAGCTGTCCACGGCTATTTTCATTTACTGGAGACATTGCAAGTTTTAGAGGAGTTGAGGTATTAAATTCTTCTGACATAGTGCCATCATCATGTTTTTCAGCATCATTTGTGCGATCTTCATTATTACGAATTTGAGGTTCTGAAGTTTTTTCTGCATCATCTTTCCTTACTTGATCTTCTATTATTTCTTTTGGATTTGTTATTTCTTCTGAAGTAACAGGACTTTTACAAGCCTCACTTTGTGTTTGTTTATCAGCAAGAATTTCCAACGAAGAGGAATCATTTTTTTCCATTTCTTCCATCAACTTCTTCTCTATCAAATTTCCAATCTCACTATTTTGACTTGTATTTAGTGCCATTTCTTCTTCTCCAATAACATCTCTAACTTCCTTTTCTATTTGATCTACCAACTCTTCATTTGAATTCTTCTTTTCAGGAAGCTTCTTAGGCATTCTTTTTCTGGTCGTTTTTCTTTTAGGATTTGCTGACTTATCTTTTTTAGCACCAGTTCTTCTCTTAAGACCTACTGATGTAGGTATATCTAAGTTTTCTTTAGAAACCATGAAATTTCTTAAATCTGAATCCCAACCTTTTTTACTCTTACTTTCTTGCAGCTTCTCATCTTCCTTAGGCATTTCTTTAGGTGGTGAACTGAACATTCCACCCCTCTTAATGAAGTCAAGGGCTCTGGGTTCCTTCTTTTGATGTTGATAGACTTTAGGCGATGTCATTGATTTCCTGAAGGTCATGTTTTTGTCAGGAGTTTCAAAATCTAATGCTCGAACATGAGTTCTTCTAGGAGTACTAAAGCTTACTCTTGGATGTTTTGGAATGGTTTGCTGTTGAGGTGTTGCTTCAGTTAAATCATTAATACAATCTTCTTTGGGCTTTTCTTTACTTTGCTCTGACAAAGAATCTTTTTCTGTTGGCAATTCAGTCTGTTGAGGTTCTTCATTTGATACATTTTGAATCACTTCAGTCACAGAAGGTTTCACAATATCCTTTTTATCTTTTTCTTGTTTTTTTGACATTGCACGAGTTCGGATGCCAGGAGTATTATTAGATTTTTTACCAACACCTGGAGAAGAAATTACCAGAATGTTATTATCAACTGGTTTAGCCATCCGTGGAACAAGTGCTTTCACTCCACGAGTGCCTACTTTTTGAATACCTCCTCTAGTCCGAACTCTTGATCCCTTGATGCCTTCAGGAAGTCCTAAAAAAATAAAATGAAGTTAAGTAAGCAACTGATTAAAAAAGTAACAACCTATTTTTTTTTGTCCACATGTTATAACTCATTTTAGAATGTTTTTTCTAATAATTAAAAAAAAAATTAAGTATTTCAGCATGTATAAGAGAAGTGTCTCATCATACTTTTTATGTTATTTAATTATTAAAACCGGAGAGGACTGAGCATGTTATTTGGAATTACACAACCTTTGAGATAGTGGGGATTAAAGTACTGAGGGAAACTGGCCTCAAGACCCTGAAAGAATTCGTGTACTGGTGGAAAACTACAGCAGGATCAAACCATATTAATCATGGAAGAAGATCGAACACTTGCTCAAAGACTTTACAAAGGTCATAAATTTCAAGTATTAATGGACAACATATGAATACTGCCTAGTTTCCATAAGTTGCCAGATGGAAGATTTGAATTTATCGCATCCAATTCAACAAAAATCATGACTTTATTATAAACAAACAACCTTATATTTTTCTACTGGTCTGCTGAAAATCGGAACATTGTTTATGCCAACTTTTTTGTAGCTCTTTGGGTCAGTACTTTAAATATTTCCCTCTACTTAAATCCTCTGTCAACTTCCGCAAAACCAGTTTCCGATTTTCAGATTTTTATACAAGATTCCACCGAACTCTGGCTTTCGACAGATCTTTCATTATTTGATCCACATCCCTATTGAATTCTATCCTATCCTACATCCGTCACTGCAATACCCTCCCCATCTTTAAATCTCGCCTGTTCGATCACCTCTTATCCTTTCAATTCTCATAAAATTGTAAATAGATGTAAATATGTATATAAATAATTAGTTTATTTTAAATACTTTTATTTAATTTTGTTTTCTCTTAAAAAAATATAGATAAAAAAAATTGTATACTATGCTCATACATATTGTTAATACTATATAATTGTATATTAGTTTCAGAAAATTGTCTGTAGCGATTAATAACTATGCTGTGTTTAAAGCAACCCAATGTAATTGGGCAGCACCCTTTTATGATAATAAAGTGATTCTCTTGAAGATAAATAATATTCTTTTCTTTTACTTATTCAATATATAAACCTGCTTATTTCGTAATTATTCTCTGAGGCTCCAAAGCCCACATTTCTTTCTCTTCTAAAGGAACTTGTCCCAGAATAAATAAAGCATTATAATTACTTACTGGACACCCTGTGCATATATATATGTATATATTAACTTTTTAGACAATAGGTGTATAGGTCAAATAGACAATACCAGTGCTAAGTATTGTAAACCTCATAAATGTGTTTAAGTCAAAAAACTTATTTAATCATGGATGATAGATTGTCAGTACGTAGTGGGGGTGGAGTGACTGAGCTGCCTAATGTGTGTCCACAACACCGTCGTTGCCCGGCAACCTGGATCAAAGATTATTTGATATAAAATGAATACGAGTTCACAATCCCCCAACCTCACTCCCTAACCCCGGAAAACCCCATACAGCCTAACAGGCGAGGAAGGGGATAAAAAAAAAGTTAGGATATCGAGTGTGCTAGCTAGTTAACACAGTAATCTTAAGTTTTATTGAAGGAAGTTTAATGACTGTTCAACATATCTTGGGTGATAGTCAGGATGCAATCAGTTTTATTGCCAAAGTTTCAACCCAAGTTTGTGGGTCATCATCAAGGCACATTAACAGCACTGATGATGACCCACAAGCTTTGGTTGAAACATTGATAATAAAACTGATTGCATCCTGACTATCACCCAAGATATGTTGAACAGTCATTAAACTTCCTTCAATAAAACTTAAGATTACTGTGTTAACTAGCTAGCACACTCGATATACATAGGACATATTAAAGCTGGTATTAATTTCGTAAATGTATGGTGAAGGCTGTAAGGTTTCAACTTCTGTTTACTAATTTTGTTTGAAGTGGAATGAAATGTAACAAAAGATGTGGAAGGAATCCAGAAAATGTTGGACAAAAGAGGGTAATATTCTGTTTTCATAGTTATGGAAAATCTGATAAAGTTTGAAGTGAATACAGACAAGAAATTTCCAAATTTCCTTATAAAATTATGGTTGTCGCATTTCGTCTTAACAGTGTTCAAATAAAAAAAGAAAAAAAAGTCCTTGAAAATTAAAATCAACAAGTTATCAGAAGTGAAGGTTTGGTTTCAACTTATTACAGCTAATACCAATTTAGCAGGATAGCACAAATGATTGTTCACTCAAGATTCAAACCAATTGATTAGCATCATAACAAGTTAAGCATTTATCACAAATTACACCAACACATCTGATATAATTATTCTAAAAGAAGAATTTGGAATGTTCTAGGAAATGTATAGTTTTCAAGAATCTCTCATGGAAAAATACATTGAGTAAAAAATACTTTAAATATCTAGTGTGTCCAGGGAATCTACCAGTTGAAATTCTTAGATAACATTCCCTTACCCCCTTCCCTCGAAAATAAGGCAGTGAAAAAAAAGAAAGAAAAGGAAATGAAATCTATTAAAATCTTATGTCATAATATTACAAAAATCTACTAATTTCCAATACAGTAATATAGAACCGTTATGGCAGTGATTAGCGCACTATACTAGTGAAGATCATAGGATCAAATCTCGGGCCCTACTTTCCACTATGGCTGGTTCCCGTGGGAAGTTAGACCCCCCTTAATTAAGAGAGACCTATAGGTTGTAAAATACTTGTAAGAACAGGCTAGAAAAAAAAAATATAGATCTATTTTTCAGCTCCATTTATTTTGATTAAAGAGATGTCAAAAGAAGAAGAATTTAATGTAAAAATGACAATTTCAATTTTGTTCCACAAATTTATAATAATAAATAGAAATAATTAGGATTAATTAATTTTTCTCATGGAAACTATAGGTTTCCTGAATTTATATTTTAATTTTTTTTTCTTCATTTAATTAAAAATATTTGTTGAAAAAGACATTAGGTAATCAAAGGTCAATAGGTAATCAAAACAGAGATACGAAAGATTCATGTATAGCAGACCATCAAACAAATCTTTATATCTATTATATTTACAGCGACTTTTTAATTTAGATTTAAATTTATCATACAATATACCAGGTCTAATTCTTAGGAGATATTTTTGTATAGTCAAGGATTATTTCGAGATGTATGACTTGACCATATATCAAAGACTTTTAAAGTCTAAATTGAAGCTATAAGCGATATTTTCTATTCAAAACAAAAACAATATTGATATAAAAGATAAAGCTTACCTTTTTGAGGAGTAGGAATTTCCACTTTTACTTCTTGTACTAGATCATCTTGGGTAGGAACTGAAATAACAACCTCTTAATAATATCTGCATTTTATTGGATTTAAGTTTAAATGAAAATATACTTCTAGAATTCAGAAAAAATTAAAAGATTCTAGATAAAGCAAGATGGATTATTTAAATAATTGTAGATTTGTATGAATATTTATACGGGAACAGGGATGGACAAGCATGATAAGTACTGCTCAATCCTCCCTTTATGAAATACATAAGCCTGCTGGAGGCAACTAGGAATAGGAGTGACAATTCTGTTCCTTGAACTTTAATGAGGAATTGTGATGTTTGTTAGGACGTCAGTAGCACCCCACAGATTAGGTCCATAGTTGATCTCTTTCAGGGAAAGTAAACCATGGTTCTGCAACAATTTGTCACCGGTCTTGAACCCTAATGAATCAGAACACCCACAGAAAGGTTCCAAAAAGATAGGCTATGGAGTTATAAGTGGTTTGCCATTGTATCATAGCAACCATATTCTCTAGCAATGTGAAGTTGGATTGCTCCTCTAGGCTATCTGTACTCCTACAAGCAATGTATGTCTGTAAAAAGACTACCTCTTGAGACCAAAGATCTAAATTCTGTAGTACTAACAGAAAAAAAAAAAGGTATATACAGAATGAGCCAGGAGAATGGGCCTAACTCCAGGAGTGGGTAGCACACAGAAAAATAATGAAAAAAACGTATATCTTCTTATCTAATTTTTATATATTTAAATTTTATTGGCTAATTAGGAATTAATTATATTATATACACGTATTAGAACTTCAGTATTACCTCCAGTAATTTTTTTTACAACAGATTGTAAGCAAGTTAAAATCAGATTAGAACATATGCTAATTGAGCCATTGATCATCAGAGTGATTCCATTCTTATTTAAGTTTGTATTATTAAAATTTTACAAAATGCCAAACACCCTTATTCATGAAAGATTGGATATGGGAAGCTTTTGATGGTTTTGTGGATTCTCAAAGCTCAATTTGGTATGCCCAAAGGGGCCTGATAATATCTGTGCATCTGACTTTTTGTAGTATTTTAGAAATTTATTGAGTTTTTCAAGTAAATCTGGCATTAATGTAATCAGAAGTTAACAGAAGTTTCTTGTTGTTTCAGTCTTATATGTGAGGATTCCAAGAAAGTCACTAGACAAGATATAGTCCCGAGGATGTGGATCTGTTCGACATGGATAAGGGGAATATTATTAAAGGAACTGTAAGACAAGATGTAGTACGTTTATGATGAAGAGTAAAAGTGATTTGATGGGATTCGTTTTAATTCATTAACACTATTCTTCAATAGCTGGGATGTTTGACAGCAGAGATTGGGATGCAACAGTAACCATCATTACTGATATATTAACAGTTAGTATTAAGGACACCACTAGGATTGGCCTACAAATTATAAACATAAAAACACATACAATTATCATCTGTAAAGAGAATAGGGCCTAAGATGCTCCCTTAAAAGGTACCAGCAAAGCTTAAAATAAAATAGGATTCTAAAGTAGATTTAGAAACGGGTAAACAATATTTTGTCAAAAGTATTTAAGATAAAAATATTGTTGATTTATTGCAAAAAGTCACAAAGAACACTTTTGGTCAATTTGAACCTGAAAGTACGTTATTGATTTCTATCATATTTATCAAAAGAATAACTCAGTTAAGAGCATAAAAATAATACAAATTCTTTTATATTAAAAACACAGTTTCACTAAATGCACAATGTTCTGAATATACATACCAAAAAGACATCAAGTTACTTAATGAAATTCTTGTTGTCTAAATAAGGTTAAAATAGAATGCCGAAATTCACTATCTTGTACTTAATGACTTCTTTCACTGGATTAATTGATGGTTGATATAATTAACTAAGTGAGGTAAATCTAACCAAATTTTATGTACTTGTAAGATTATAAAAATAAGTAAGTGTTTTGTTTAACAATGATAGTATGCAAAAAGTCACTATATGCGTTATGGTTTCAGTTTTTTCATTGTAATGCATATATTAACTGTTTTAATCAATTGTCAGAAATAGAATACATATTAAGAATTGCAAATAACAAATACTAGCTGGTCTGGAATAATTTGCATAAAATATTAGTAAGAGAACAACCGATATAATTGTATGGAAATATGTTAATGCAATGTATTAAGAGTTGGAAGAATTCATTTTTCTTTTCTTTGTTGAATTAAAATGGTTAATTCATAAAAATAAAACAAAACATTTATACTATTTACTGTAGTCTATATCTTTGCTCATATTGGTCCAATTTCAATATTTTTTTTTTTTTGTGGGAAATTTTCTAACCTTTTAATTATTCATGGATTTAATCCACCATAAATTGCATACTTTTTTGGTTATGACAAATTAAGTTTGTTTGTTTTTCTGAGATGTTGGAGGTTGTGTTTAGACAGTCTTTAAAATGATGGTCCGATAATTGGAACTAACGAAGATATGGCAAAATAAAACACCAGTGAGAAAAAATAAATAGTATATATTGTATTTATTTCTAACTATGGGGACTTTCACCACTCACGGGCCATTTTTGCTCTTACACGATATTTATAATATAAAAAATAACAGTAAACTTGAAGGTAGAAAACATTAACATTTTCAAAAAATGAAATTGTTATATAGTTGTGTTTTTTTAATAAATAAAAACAAGTTGAAGCCATCTTCGTGTAGTATTTCAAAATTTCAACAATATTATTTTCAAATTCCACATCACTCCAATGTTCTTTATAGGCACAACGCTCAGTCTAGATGTGCATCACTGTGATATTTACCACGCAGGAAAGAAACTCAAGGTATGCCCCCTGTGTCAATAAGTTTTCATGTTTAAGCCTTGAGTATCCGATTCGTAGTTTTGCTAGGCTGATCTCTTTTATTCTATTCAATTGCAGGTGCACTCGATTTGTATCTACTGGAAATTGTAATTTTTATAAGAATCAGAATCCATAACAACAGTGGCATCAAGATTTCCTATGAGAGATATAAGGTTGGGCTCAAACGGAAACTGAAAAACTGTACATTTTAGGGCTTTAAAAGGCAGTTATTTAATCTTAAAAATTGTCAGTTATCCTTTATTAAATAAAAATCAGAAATTATGAAAGTAGTTTTCGAAAACAGTACGTGTCAAAACGATAGTTGATATTTTGTAACACTTCTTTGAAAACAATATTAGAAGTAAATTACAATAGGCTGTATCATTGATCTTTGTAAATAATGGTCCGATTTCCCTGTTTTTTTTTTTCCTTTTTGTAGAGAATTCATTACACTTTCAAATAATAATGGGTCTAATCAAGAAAAAAATGTCTACTTTTGAAATAATTCGCAAATAAATTTTCTTTTCATTCATAACTTTTTTCCCAATTCATCAAAATATATCGCTTCTGAGAGGCGGAAAAGGGATTGTTACGGCAAAAAACTGTCGTATTAGATTAAAAGATAGATGTTACTTAATGACATTTTGCAATAAACCCATGATATAATAATAATGTTATATTCAATCAAATAGAGATTATTTAACGTAATATAACATGTTCTAGTACTAATATTTACTTTGGATAACAAAGCTTTCTGTTTTTGGAAGAATTCTTCGTCTGCGGGGTTGAAGACTACCACGAATACTCACTGCAAAAAAAAAAAAAAAACATATTACTAGCAGAAAAAAACAAAACAGTATTGAGTAAAACAACCTAGTGATTGAGTAAAACATGGAGAAGTGCAGATGTTCTGCTTAGAATGCACTATGACATTGAAGAGAAAAAAATATGAAGCTCCCAGCAACTTGTATGACCTCTTGAGAAATTAACTAAAGAACCGGAAATTGAAGATACAAGATAACTTCTTTGAAATGGCTAATTCTGTAAAAAGAGGATTCCCACACAACCCAGTCCTATAGAAATTGGTATTTGTCGAGCTACTGGGAGTGCTGGATGAGGAGAGGTTCTCTGCCATGACTTATGTAGACGATTTGGCAGTTGTTGTGGCCTTGAACAGCAGAGCCAGGTTAAAAAAAGAAGCTGAAGATAGCAGCTGCCAATAATCAGTCCACTCTTTTGAGGTGTAAGACTGACAGAGTCCATCCTATTACTCTTAATTTATAAGAAGGAACCATAGTCCAAGTGAGGCTGTCATCTATCTTGGGTAAGGACTAGCAGAAAGTTTAACTTTACTTCTCATTTGGAATATTTGAGAAGTAGGATTGCCCTGGTCCTTAATGGACTATGTCACATCGGGAGCACCTTATGGGGTCTCAGATTTCCAGCCACATTGGCAATTAATAAAGGAGTAATCTTGGGTATCCTAACAGCGTTCCCTGCAAGGAGTCAGAATCCCTCACATCAACAGAAGAGAAGGTGGACAGTGGATGGCTCTGCTGTGAGATACTGGAGCATTCAAGACAGTGTCTCATGAGGCTGTACAAGTCTTAGCTAGAAGTATTCCAATTGATATCCAACTACGTGAAGACTATTTCTAGCATAAGATGAAGAGAGAAGGTTTAGTGGATCTACTGGCGTCCCAGGCAGATGGAAGAGGATATTCCGGGAGTGCACGTTAGAAGAATGGGTGATTGGTGACAATAGATGCCCAAAGGATCTACCTTAAGGAAATTGTTTCTCACCGGCAGTTCGAGTATTGAAACCAAATGGGTTCTTCCGGACTATTGGGTTTCACAATTCCTCATGGGGCATGGGGGCTTCTGAACAAAGCTTATTAAACATGGAAATAACATCGATTCCCTATGTCCAAGTTGTAGAGACTGCCAAACATATCTTACTTGACATCTATGAGGCACTGAGGGCCAAGTTGCTAAGGGAGACAAGGCTCTACAGGAGATAAAGTTCTATCGGAGTGTGATCACCCATAGCTAATGAACAAAGAGAACTACCCATACAACAAGGCGTACGGATGGAAAGAAGTAATTGGCCCAGCCCACTTCTACGTGGGTAGAAGAGAAGAACCTCTACCAGAAAGGAAAGGAATCATAAATTTTATGACCGGAACATTAAGTTTGTTCCTTATAAATACAGATCAACTCCTATAATAGAGATATGGGAGTATCAACCATTTTATATGAAAAATCACTATTTTCAAATTTCTCTTTTTTATAAATACAAAGTTTATTTAGACAATTATGATTATTATAAAACATCCCAGATCATGGGAAAACAAAAAATAAAGCTTTGAAACTGCTATTTATGGTAATTTTTGCTGAAAACAGGGGTACGTTTTGGTGTTAGGATAAAAAAATCACATAATTTGTTTGCACATGAGGTGGATCTCAAGTTTTTGCCTACTAAAACTAAACCTAATTAATATGTACTTAAAGCATATTAAACGAGGAAGTTTTTCTAAAAGTAGTGTATCTGTAATATAGTTGGATGACAATTAAAAAAATCGTAAATAATGTATGACTTTTTAAAATACAGAACTTAACTTAGTATAGCCAGTTGAATCAGTTTACAATTAACAAGATAAAAACACTTTTAAATTTCCATACATACCACTGTATACATAAAAGATTGCAAAGAAATAAATATATATTCTGCATAATTAGTATAGACTTAAAGAATTTTTTTTTTTAATTTGGTGATCTTACCAGATTGTTTAGCGACACCGGCTGGCTGGGGTAAAATGGGAGAAAGATGACCAAATGTGGCAATGTTAGCCACATTTATGGGTTGCAATGGTGTTGATATTTGGGAGGCGGGGATCACATCAGTAACTTTATAGCCAGCTGGAATGATGAAACTCTGCTTGTAGATACCGCTGGAAGTTGCAATGGCCTAAAGTTTCATAAGATAAAATGTCAGTTTTTAGTTGGGTGTCAATTAATAAAATAAAAAAATTATTAATAAATTTAAATTGGCTTTATCTTTGAATTTTTTCTTGATGAGGAAATGTTTCATTCTTCATATCAAGATTATATTTCCCAAAGAAATTCATTTATTACAAAATTTTATTTTTCTAAAAAAAATCAAAGAATTGGCATTGAATATAATCTAAAAACTCTTACAGAATTTCCAGATTCAATAAAATAATGTTTAAATTCACCTAATTGATTTTTATAATGTAAAACTTTTCAGTGAAATAAACAAACATATAATATTATTCATGTTTCTTTAAGTTTTACTATTAGTTGACATCAGAAATATATGACAATTCACATAAAACTAACTAAGAAGAGACAAGGGTGTACAATAATGTTTTCCATCACTCCAGAAATATTTCAATAAAAAAAAAACTAGGTCATTCCCTTGAGTATACACCAGACCAGTAGCATTAAATTGATGCAGCAGGAACCAACTGCTTTTATTTTAATCTTGGCTCTAAAACCTCAGCTTCATTTTTGAAATTTTTTTATTGACGATTTTCAGAATAATTTGAAAGAATTACCTCTTTTATAATAATTTAATTCAGATTAAGTGAAAAACTAAATACTATTTTAGCCAAGATCATGACATTCCTCACTGTTATTAACACCGCTGCCATATAAAAATGAATCTATGCTGTCCACAATATTTTCCAGTTTCAAAGGAAGAAAGGGGACTGATAAATCAATCCAATAGGAACAGAGGTGAAAGGATGTTGTGATAGAAAATTTCTTTTTTGTTTTTTTAAATAGCTGTTGCTTTAAGATTCCCTTTAATCCATAGGTATTTTACAATGAAATGATTCCTTCTTATCCTGATCCTCTAATTTTATGTGAGCAAAATAAACTATTGAAAAAAACATAAATGTTTTTAACTGTATATATTACATAATATAGCTGAAAAACTATGCCAATTAACACCTCTTCTAAAAGCCATTTCTTTTGAAATTCACAAAAAATAACAATATTAAAAAAAAAAAATCAGTTATGGTGTACTGTATGTTGCAATAATTGGTAACATAAGTCAGCCTTACATTTTATTGCAACATACAATACACCCTATGTTACCATCCTGAAGTAGTTTCTAGTTAGCTCATTAGGTTAACAATTTAACGTTATAAAAACTAAAAATACTTGCTTGTGTGTATGTTAGAAAATCTTTTTGTATGTGATATCATAATAAAAAAAAATATACCTGTGGTGAAGAAATTACTATAGTTTCCGTAGGTTGAGGTTCTTCACTAACTTTCTCTTCTTGCATCTTCTTGTTACCAGCAAGTATGCCCTCTATAGCAAGGTTGGATTCTTCTTCAATTTTCTTTGATGTTTCTGGATCTAGAAATGAGAATTTTAATAAAAAAACCATTACCACGAAAATTCAAAAGCATCAAAGTCAATTAAATAAGTAATTTATATGCATCAATTAGCTTTTCCGATAACTAATTTATTTCCATGCAATGTATAGAATTAAATCAAATTTATACTCTTGTTAACTTTATGATAAAATTATACCAATGAGCAATTTACTTTTTAAAATAAAAAATGAGTAGAATAAAAACAATCCTCTACAGCAGTCAGAGGTTTAGCAGCTAATCAAATAGTTGCAAAAGTAATACATGGGATGCTCTTGACAGAAAAAGTGAAATAAGCCAACACCACATTGTCTTGGTGAAGAAACCATGACTTGTTCTTCCACTATTTCAGCCATTTTTTCCATATTCTTTCACAGAGTAATTTCAATCTAAAAAACCTTGTCCTTTTTTTAAATATGAATTTTCATTCAAAAACGCTTAAAAGTCGTTTTGGGCATATATATCACAAAAAGAACTGAATGAAAAATTATGAAATTGATACAGTTTATGCTTCTTAATGATAGGAAGGTGATTTATAGATCAACAGAAATGTAGAAAAAATACTCTTAATTATTTCAGTTTTTATTTTGGCTTGATATCTACAAAATAACAAGAGTTACAGGCGTTTTCCCAAAACATGTTTTCAGTAGAAAAGAAAATTAAAAATGGCCACCGAGAAAAAACTGTGAGCCTCAAAATTTTTTAACTATGGTTTTGAACTCTCAAATAAATATGGAATAACTGGTAAAAAATATATAAAAATCAAAAATGTCGAGCAACATGGTCTGTGTGATTTCGAATGGATTGACTCAGTAGCTACTAAGCCTATTAAGCCAACCCTTCATAAGATCACCTCTTGATTGCTATTTCATAGCGAACCAACAATCACCTCGGTCCCTCGCTTTCTATTTCTGACACTACATCTTATATACACCAACTTTTTCTTTAATGAAAACAATTTCCTTTGGTTCTTAAAAACATTAGATTTATGCCAGATGTAACTACAATAGATTACCTAATTTAGTGTTAGGAGAAAAATTAAACTGAGCTTAAAGTATTCTCTAAGATGATAATTAGATAATACTACAAACCAGAGATGAGATACTCAAGGCCCAATATCGATATTGTCTGATATTAATGTCAGCCTATAAATATCAAAATAATGGACTTGAAATATCATTGGCAGAGATTTTCATTGATATTATAATCATTTTAGAAATATGAATATCAAAGTAAATACTGATTCTCTAGCACATAGGCACATAAAAAAATATGTTATTTTCCTCTTTAAATTAATTAATGAAAGTATCAATGCTTTTGATCTCCTAGTTCTTGTGAATCTTTGTCATCTGCAGCTTTTTCCAGAAACTTCCATTCAACCAATTATATGCCTTCCATTCACTCATAGATTGGATTCAACAAAATGCTAATTTATTTGCATCCAACATAAATTTCTTTGACAATTCGTGGCCTCGGTTTGAAAAGGTTCCAACTAAGAAATTTGGGCAAATTAAGTTTACTGAGTGAGAAGGATTCGAAACACGCTACTTAGCTCTACTTAGGGATGGCCGTTAATAGTTGATACAATCGATATTTTCCTTTGCTACGCAATATATTCTATATGAAACAGACAAGCTGAGTATAATTTTTTATTAACGATCAGATTCATATATAATTAATAGAGATTTCCGAAAACAATATTTTTAATTTTAATTTTTAAATTAAAATATTGAACATTGGAAGGAAAATATTGATATTTGTGAAGAAAAAAAAAATGGATGGATTGCATTAAATTGAATTGAAAAAAGTTATTTATTACATTAGAGATAAAAAATTATTTAAAAATTAATAACTCTAAAAAAATTATCTATATTGATAAATTGTCTTTAATAAAAATAATTATAAATACCCTCATTAGATAAATGTCCAGAATCCAAATTAGGAGCTGGCCTTTTTTCAGCTGGATCACCATTCCTGAAAGTTCAACAGATTATTATGGTTATTTATATAAAAACAAGTAATCATGAATAGATAGTGAAGAAACAAAACTTTATTACAATCAAGTAAGAGAAAGGAAAATATTTTGATACCGAATTTTAAAAATAAAATTTCTTTATATATTATATATTTTCATTTTCATACTATATTCTCATATCACATAGAAAAAAAAAACTCATGTTTTATTAAATAACAGAGTCCTAATAAACTTAAGAATGAAATTTCGGGCTATTTAATGTTTATTCTTCTCCATTTTAAAAATAAAAAGTGACAGCTTCCAATCTGCAACCGGGATGCATGTCATCTTCCAGTAGAATATGAGGAGGAGAGCGGTTCATACAGACCATCTAAGCGATAAATTGCGCAGGAGTAAGGCCCACTTTACAAAAGAATTTAATAACCGCATGGTATTCAATCTTGAACATTGTAAAAATGCAAACTTTTCTTCAGGATTAGATATTGACTGACAGGACTGAGGAAGTGCAGATGATGCAGAAATGCACAGATGATACATTCAGATCTGGGCCTTCTTGATGTAGAAGTAGGGAAGGCCGGATACTTATGGACTGTATTATTTAGATGACCACAGATTGTAGGTAGTTCAGGGTCTATAGGAGGCTTTCATCACATTCTTTGAGTTGTCAATCGACTGGATTGTCATCAGTAATACCAAATACAGTAGTGTGAGCAATTGAGATAATTTTCAATGAGATTGTAATTTAAATTAAATATTTTTTAAAAACAAAGGTTATTTCACTGATGTGATTTATTATATATTGAGTTGATTTATTTGCAAAAATCTGAAAAAAGGAAAAAATTAAAGCACTATAAATGGCTTAAACAAACAACTTTAGAGGTGATACATTAATTACATTGAGCAGTTTATTTGTTATAAATGTTACACTCCACAAATCTATTTATGGCCTTACTCCTCGAATCCTCTTAAAAATTCTGCTTTAATTATACATAAACAGGTTTGGATATACGAGAAAAAAAAATGTCATCTATACAACAATATTTTTTACTTATAGAAAAATATCACATGAGAAATTTAGGAGACTTACTCTTTATCTGTGTCTTCTGGTGTGGTTGTGTCTTCAGTCCGTGGTGCTGCAAAATATTAAAAAATAAAAATTAGTATTCATCGCCATAGTGTTGAATATATTTCACACTTCTAAATTATACTACTGGTTAAGAGTTGATACAGACTAAATAAACATAAAAACCCACTGGATTATTTTAATAATGGTAAATTTATTTATTAATTTTAAAAAGATTTTTAAAAATATGTAAAGCAAAATCCTCAATAAAAAATAGATAATTAAGAACTTAATGAATTCTAATCTCCTACTAGATGAGAACTTCATATACTTTCATATCGTCCTTATCTAACATTTCTGAAAATAAGAAGTTTTAACTTATTTCAATACAATGCAACTATTAGTATAAATTGTGGATTGATGGTTGACTGTAGTGAATAATTGCAGAGAAGGATGGTTGAGATGATCAGTCAGAATAAAAAATAGTACAAATAAATAATTATATTAGAATAGAATAGAAATAAAATAGAAAATAATTTTATTCTGGGATGAAGTCCCTTCAGAATAACAAAAAATTACAAAATTAATATATTGATTTTTATATTTGCCGATGTTTCAGCCTGAACTTCAGATCAAAGAAGCGTATGTTTATATTAGTATAAACATACCTTCCACTAAATATAATCAAGATGAAGTCTGAAAAAAACATTATATTATTTGAATTTTTTAATTATAACCAATAACCCTGCTGATGTTTTGGTTTAAGCATTTAAATTAAAATCAAATTAAAGTTATAATAGAAGAGTTGGGGTGATCAGTAAAAAAAAAAAGTAAAAATAAATAAGTATATTTATTTTTATTTTTGCCGGCGTTCTGGTCCAAAGTTCAGCAGGCCTTCATAAGGACTAAGAAAAAACCAGAAAACCATAGGTATGAAAAACTATAAACATTAAATAATAGAAAAAAAAAATATGTAAGTGAAAAGTATAGACTAAAAAATTAGGTAAAATAAGCTTTAAGTAAAATAAAGCAATTATGTCACCCCATTTATTTTTTGTCTACACTTACGTTTTTTATCTCATACATTCGACTATTTTTCGTTGTTAATTCATTTTTCATTTCTTATGTTACCTTATTTAGATTATGTTTATTTCATTAGAAGGGAGCAGGGTAGCTCAGTGGGTGAGCACTGACTTCCAGAGCTCAAGGTCCTAGGTTCGAATCCGGTTAATGACTAGTAATTTTTCATTAGCCTGGATTGACCCTAAGATCGGGATACTCTACTGGGGCACACCCAGCCTCTATAAAGTGGGTACCCTTAATTTAAAAAATAATTAAGGGGAAAAACCTGGCGGTTGAGCGTGATATCGGCCCCATCACCTCCCTGCACAACCGTTGGCCTAGTAACAGTACTTCCTCACATAGTATTGCACCCAAGACCCTTCATGGGTTGCTGTGGTACAGGTTTTTTTTTATTTCATTAGTTCCTAATTTGTTGGAGTTATTATTTATTTCTTAGTTCTCTGTTGCTGTTATTATTCTATCTACTTTATTTTACTTTAAGTTCACTCTACCTACTTTATTTTATTTTAAGTTTATTCAACCTACATTTTTTAGTCTATACCTTTCACTTACATATTATTTTTTTTTTATTATTTAATGTTTATAGTTTCTCATAACTATTGTTACCTGTTTTTTTCTTATATAAAAGAACTATATAACTGATGAAGGCCTGAACTTTGGGCCGAACGACAGCAAAAATAAAAATAAATAGTTATTTATTTTTACATTTTTTTTTTTTTTTTTTACTGATCACCCCAAACATTGTTTCCTTCAATTATTCAGCCAACGACTAACCCATAATTTTAAAGTTATAATAATATCAATGTCGTTAAATATAACTGATCTGATGGGCCCAGGAAAGGCTATCACCATCTCTTAAGAGAATGCAACAAGCAAAGGAACCAACATTTATGATCTATACAGGTTATTCCGTAAGTAGAGAGAAATTGATATAGGAGGGATTGATAGCAGACCTGAAGATTTATAAAAAAAATTATATGAACAATGGCCCAATTCCCAACAGAAAAGTAGAAAATTCGAGATTAGTGATTTTTTTTAAGTGAGTCTCGTTTTTTGTTGAATAGAAAGCGATAACAACAAAAATATTTAATTCAAGTGATTAACAATTTCTGCACTGTGAAGTAGACGACATTTATTACTTCAAATGACAATAGAGTTTGTCTTTGTGAAAACCATGGAAAGAGGACGAACCCAGCTAAGTTCAGTTTAAAAAAAATAAAAATAAATTATTTGCGATTTTTTTTTATCACTCTCAAACTATACTACAGATATTCCACCCAATTTTAGAAAAACTATCTCGTTTAATCAACTTTAAGTCCATATTAATTAGGTTGAGGTTTATGAGAAAAATTTTTGAGAATCGTATCAAGTTGTGTAAAAAAATTATGTGATTTGATATCCTGTTACCTAAAAGTAACCATATTTTCAGCAAATGTCTACATAAATTATTGAAAAAGTTTAATTTCTTATTTTTCCATGAACTAGGATGGATTGTATTAAGGGATGGGCCGTTTAGGACGGAACAAATTCCACCACTAGAACGGTTTGGAACAGAACGAGACCCTTGGAAACTTCGTTCTTCAGGAACGTAATCGAAGCAAATAAACGTCTTTAGGTTTCGATGGGTAAATGTTCGGCAGAAAAGTCAAATAGGTACAAAAGGGATTTGTAGCAATTAAGGTTAGTGCGCTGATGGCACCGAAGTGGATTAACGGAATAGTCGAATAGATTGTTTGCTTCATAAGTGAACCATAACAACTAAATTTAATTTAATGTTTGATTAAATATAAAGAAATAAAATATAATAAGATCCTAACCATAATTTTAACATAGAAATTTACAAATATTAAAAATATTAATTATAATGCCAAGATTCTGACAAACTATTAAAGCAATAATAAACTAATTATAAATAATATTAAATAAACATTTTAATCAAATTGTATTATTATTAAGACCAATGATAAATATGTAGTTCCGTAGTGTAAATTAAATTTAAATAATAAACTAATTATAAATAATATTAAATAAACATTTTAATCAAATTGTATTATTATTAAGACCAATGATAAATATGTAGTTCCGTAGTGTAAATTAAATTTGTCATAAAAAATTTATATCATTAGTTTATTTGGATTTAGGAGAGATTTTGCATTTTATTTTATTTTACTTTTTTTTAGCTACCTATAAAAGTCATTAGAGATATCAATATTGTTCAAACATTTTATAAGTTTAAAAAAATATTGATTTTTATTAAATTTTGTTGTTTTTTTATTTTTACCCAACAGAAAAGTTGAAAATTCGAGATTAGTGATTTTTTTTAAGTGTGTCTCGTTTTTTGTTGAATAGCGATTGCTGAAAAGCAATCACAACAAAAATATTTAATTCAAGTGATTAACAATTTCTGCACTGTGAAGTAGACAACACATTACTTCAAATGAAAATAGAGTTTGTCATTGTGAAAATCACTGAAAGAGGATTTTTAATCGGCTGAACCCAGCTACGTTCAGTTTAAAAAAAAATTATAAATTATATGCGATTTTTTTTATCACTCTCAAATTATACTACAGATACTCCACCTCAATTTTAGAAAAACTATCTCGTTTAATAAACTTTAAGTCCATATTAATTAGGTTGAGGTTTATGAGGAAAATTTTTGAGAATCATATCAAGTTGAGTAAAAAAATTATGTGATTTGATATCCTGTTATCTAAAAGTAACCATATTTTCCACAAAAATGATTACAATAAATTATTGAAAAGCTTTTATTTCCATGATCTGGAATGTTTTATAATAAATATAAATGCATAATTACAGTTTTTATTTATTTAAAAATAATGTTTTTTCGAATATTTATTATCTAAAGTGATAATGAAACTGTCTTTTTTTAAACCTAAATCTCTATTATAGGTATTGATCCGTATTTTTAAGTGCCCAACTAAATGTTCCTAATCCTAATATTTACGGTTTCGTGAAAATAATTGAAGCAATCTACTGATTTTTTTCTTATCTTAAACATAAATATTAGGATTGGAAACATTTAACTGGACAGTTATAAATATGGATCAATATCTATAATAGAGATTTAGGTTAAAAAACACAGTTACGTTATCACTCTAGAAGATAAATATTCGAAAAAACATTATTTTTAACATTTTTTTATTAAATAAATAAAAAGTGTACTTACGCATTTATATTTATTAAAATTAGGGATGGGCAATTTCGACTACAGGTAGGAACGGAATTTTCCACCACTGGAATTCATTCCAGTTCTCGTTCCGTTCCATCTTCGTTTCGAACAATACATGAACCACGATAGAGAATAATGAAGCAAATATTTGTAATTGAAAAATCATTGAGGCTGAGGAAAATGAAGATAAACGGAGAGGAGTACAGCTGGAGAGGAGTACTCGACTATCAGCTGGTAAAGTAAAAATTACTGTTTTGTTTTTTTAATTCATCCTAAGTTTTATATTATAGATTTGTTTGTTTTATCTTTATTTTTTGGTTGGTAAAATTCTTATATTTGTCTTAATTTTCCGTTACCCCAAGTTACAGAAAATCAATAAAAATCCATTTCTGTTTTCTAATTTGCTTTTTTACTTTCACTCACCTATATATGAAATATATAGTAAAGGAAAGTATTGCGATCATGAAAATTTTTGAATCTCAGTTTTCAACAGAAATACACGTTTTGAGGTCCCCTGAGTCCAAATAACCAAGTACTGCAAAATGGTCTGCGTGTGTGTGTGTGTTAACAGTATAGCTCAAAAACGAAAAGTTGTGTGAAATTGAAATTGCATATTCAAGATTTTTATATGTTATGGATGTTACAGCAACTTTTTTCATCACAACCAGCTAACCAGAAGTGGCACTTTATTCGTGCAGGGAGGAGATCGGGCCAGGATCACGCTCAACGACCACGTTTTCTTCCTTAATCAATTATTTAATTAAGGGTACCCACCTTGTAGAGACTGGGTGTGCCCCAGGAGGGTCTTTCCTACCACAACCAATGAAACAGAATAAATAACTTTTCTGCCATGAGGGCAAACATTAAATTAAATTTAGTTGTTATGGTTCACTTTTGAAGCAAACAATCTATTCGTCTATTCCGTTAATCCACTTCGGTGACATCAACGCACTAACGTTAATTGCTACAAATCCCTTTTGTACCTATTTGACTTTTCTGCCGAACAGAAAAGTCAAATAGGTACATTGAAACCCATCGAAACCTAAAGAAGTTTATTTTCTTTGATTACGTTCCTGAAAAACGAAGTTTCCAAGGGTCTCGTTCTGTTCCGAACCGTTCTAGTGGTGGAATTCGTTCCGTCCTAAATGGTCCATCCCTTGTTACAATACATCCTAGATCATGGAAAAATAAGAATTAAACCTTTTCAATAATTTATGTAGACATTTGCTGAAAATATGGTTACTTTTAGGTGAATGGATATCAAATCACATAATGTTTTTACATTGCATGAGGTGAATCTCAAAATTTTCCTAATAAACCTCAACTTAATAAATATGGATTCCACGAATTCAAGAATGGAAAAACGAGAAAGTTTTTCTAAAAGTGGGGTATCTGTATTATGGTTTGAGTGATAAAAAAAAAATCGCAAATAATTTAATTTTTTTTTTAAACTGAACTTTAATTCAGCCACTCAATATTCCTCTTTTAAATGGTTTCAACAATGACAAACTCTTCTTTCATCCGAAGTAAGTTTTATCTAGTTTACTGAGGAACAATTGTTAATTACTTCTTGTTCTTATTACTTAAATATTCTTGTAGTTATTGCTTTCTATTCAACAAAAAATGTGACTCATGTAAAAATCACTAATCTTGAATTCCTACTTTTGTGTTGGGAATTGGGCTATTGTTTATATAAACTTTTTTGTAGATCTTGAGATTTGCTGCCATTTCTATAAAAAATTCCCTCTACTTATGGTCAGGCTGTATAGTTATTGTAATATAAATAATCTATAATAATGAAATAAACACAACTTATATTCTGAGAGCTTCAGTTAACAAAAATGGAACATTTTTTTTTTTTGTAATTATCAAACTTAGTCTCTGGGGTTTATTTTAAAATGAATTAGAAGTTAATGGATGAGATCATAACCAATACCTTGCAAGGCTACAATTTAATTTAATACATTAAGAAGTTGTCATAAACTACTTAGTAATTATAAATTTATTTGAAGTGTTTGGATAAAAATACCCAAATTTCATTTGCATGTTGCTGGATAAAATAATTGTAAGAATACATAAGTTGAAAAATGAAATTTTCTATTTAAAAAAAAAAATATATTTCAAAAATAATTAATATTAAACTGTAATTGAATTCAGTTGAAATAATTGGTAACTCTATCCATCAATAAATATGAATATTTATAAATGAAGACGCAATATCTTCATAACATTTTAAAACTAAAACCACACTAGGGTGCTTTAGTTTTATCTTTTGGGATGATCTTATAGATGATTGTAATCCTAAAGTACCTAAACTATGTAAATGATCGCAACTTTATACAGTTTTTATTGATACATAGCTTTATGAGGAAGAATCATTTATTTAATATATAAATAGAAGTATCAAGGTCGATACTTTATATGAATTATACCTTTTCCACTATGGATGCTTAATTTCAAAACAATTTAATAATTTAATTATTCGTTTCTTGAGCAATGACTCACCGACTAACTCATCCAACAGGTCGTGAAAAATAGGATCAGCTTCAGTATTATGTAAAATGGTTTCAATAATCTTTTTTTCATCTGTTTTATTATGGTTTGATGTCTCACCACTTGAATCAATAGCTTTATTTATATTTTCAGCAAGTCTTTCGTGGAGGGCAGTATTGTCAATCAAAGATTGTAATATCTGTGTTAAATAAATAATCAAGGGTGAATCTTTAATACACCACATGCTTACAACAAACATTCATAAAAACAAAAAAGTGAAATGGATTGATCACTTCATACCTACATTTAAATCAAAATCATCACTGCTTGAGTTAGTATTGTTCTTAACAGGAACAAATTCTTCATTAACATTATTTGTTTTCTCCTCACCATGTTGACTTTCTTTTTCTGATTCATCTTCTTCCTCTTCCTCTTCGATGCTTTCCAGGTGTATTGAATTTCGGCGAGCATTCTTCTAAAAATATTAATATTAAATTAACGATAGCAACTTAAAGGATATCTGAATATATTTCCTAATTTGGCAGTGTATTGAAAAATAAAAAAGAATAAAACAAAAACAAAACAGTCTTCTTATATAGTATAGTGGGGAGATAGAAAGAAATAACAAAAAAAAGAAAAATTAAAAGACCTAAAACATAGGTCAAAACGTTGGATAATGCAATAAATATACAATTATATAATGTAGTATTTTTTGTTAATTAACGAAGGGCGCTAACCTTATCAACCAGTAGTTTCTACATGAAAATATGGAGAAGATATTTTGAAGACCTCCTTACTGAAGGATTGAGAAATCACAATATTGATGAGGATGCTGTAACACCTGGTTATAGTCCCGATGATGATCTCGAACCACCAGATAATAAGGAAGTAGAGGAGGCAAAAAGGAATCTCAAAAACAATAAGACCCCTGGATTTGATGGACTCCCAGATGAACTATAAAAATATGGTGGTACCGAGCTAATAAAATTCTTATGCTAGTTATTCTTAAGTATCTGGACAGAAGAGAAATTACCTAAAGATTAGAACAAATCTGTGATATGTCCTATATACAAGAAAAGGTGATAAACTTAACTGTGAAAATTATAGTGGCATTTCTCTGCTCTCCAGTGCTACCAAAGTTCTATCTAACGTGCTCTCTCAAAGGCTTTTGCCGTTTGCAGAGCAAATATCAGCAAATACTAGTGTGGGTTCAGAAGAGGAAAATCGACAACTGATCAGATATTCACCCTTAGAATGCTGCTGGAGAAAACTATGGAGTATGATGTTAAAACCCATTATCTCTTCATAGATTTTAGAGCTGCTTGTGATAGCATCAAGAACAGACATACAAGGCTATCAGCATGACCATGATGGGCATAGAGTGTGTCGTCCGAGGGGACCTATCACAGAGGTTCATGACAACTAAGGGACTCCGCCATTCAGACTACTGGTAGGCTATTGAATAAGAACGTACAGCTATTTTCATATACCAATGACATCGACATAACAGCCAGATCGATAAATGCTATGAAAGCAGCATATGTCCAACTAGAAGCAGCAGCTAGATGATATCGTTAACGAAGCAAAAACCAAGTACATGTGTATTAGAGGTAATGCTACCACCCAAGAACAGCACCTGGAGATCGCTTACTTTAAGTTCAAGAGAGTTAATGAGTTTACACATTTGGGATATCTGGTAAATAGAGAAAACAAAGGAAACTTAGAGATCAAGAGAAGGATAGTAGCGGCAAACCAGGGCTATTTTTGCCTCAATAAGCATTTCAAAACCACTCATCTCTCATAGCACAAAGACACAGCTTTATAATACGCTCATTCATCCAGTACTGCTGTATGGCTCCAAAGCGTGGACCATAACGCAAGCAGATTTGAGAGGAAGGTGCTCCACAGAATCTATGGTCCAGTGCGCGATGAACAGATTTGGAGGATTAGACATAACACAGAGTTCTACAATCTGTTCAAGGAGTCGCATTTCATAAGAATCGTAAAGCTTGCAAGACTGTGATGGATAGGGGACGGGACGAGGATGCAAAATGATGAAATTCCCAAAAAACTATGGAGAGTAATGAGCAAGGATCTGGCAGAGTAGGAAGATCACGGCTGTGATGGCAGGATTGTGTGGCAAATGATGCACGAGCAGTACTCTGTGTACGCAACCGGAAAGCGCCTACGCAGGATAGGGAGGCCTGGTCGACACGTCTTGAGGAGGCCAAGATTCTTCATGAGTTGTAGTGCTGTGGAAGAAGTATTTTTTGGCCACACCCCCGACTAACTTCTGAAAGATGACATTTTTTTTAATTCATACTTATAATAACACAGTTGCTGAATATTTGTAGACAACCAGCATTTTCAGATGTAACGGCTCAAACATTTTTGTCCATTTCTAAATAATAAAGCAATAATCTTTGAGGTTCCCTCAACAGAAGAGAGGTGATTTAAAAAAACAAAGCTATCAGTCTACAAGTCAATGTTCTTACCCATCCTATTTTACTCCTCAGAGTCATGGACCTTAATACAAGGAGCAGATCCAGAAAATAGAGATGAGACACCTAAGAAAGGTTGAAGGAAAGATCAGGAGAGATAGGACCCCCTACTCAACAATAAAGTCAAACCTAAAGGTACGGCAAGTAGAAACCACTCTAGAAGAGAATAAACTAGGATGGTGTGGGCACCTTCTTACCATGAGTACAGAAAGAACGGTAAGGATAACATATGAGAAATAAGTGGAGAAAATAAGACCATGAGGAATACCAAAGATCACGTGGAAGGCGTGTGGGAAACATTCAGGAAACGAGGGCTGGACTAGAACTGAAGAAGAGAACTAGTACAGGAGAGAGGGCACTTGGTCCAAGTTCTACAGATATATTATTATTACACCTACGTATTACAGCAGTGACCTATTACAGTGTCACAATCATGTCAACAGAAAATGCTAGGTATGTTATTAGGCATTATGCTAGGTAATATTGATTACTTCAGCATCATCCTTATTAGACAAATTTTCACTAACATTTAGATTGTTCATGAAATTAGCAAATTTCATTCCAGGGCCAAAGAAATTATTTATATACTTTACTTAGGATAATAATTTATATACAATGATTAATCCTGTTCTCTTTCATGTAAAATATAATTTCTCAATATGTGAAGAGAGTTAAGAGGAAGAAGGAAAGTGACCTGCTTATAATATATAGTTATATCAAATGTTAAATTTTGCGACAACAGAGGTGAACAATATCATATAAGCATAAACTTAGGTACTGATACCTTAGATCTTCATATAGATTTTAATTAAAATTATGGAATTAATATCAAAATCAGTCATATTATTTCTTAATAGCCTTATTCTAATACAATTCTTTGCAAGACAAAAACATTTGTTAAAAACACCAATTTCAATAACATTGGAGCGGAATAGTAACCATATAAGTTTAATATTCCATTTATATTTTTACTAACCATTTAGATTTAAAAACACTACAATCAATATCCAAGAGATAATTCGTTGAAAAACTAAATATCTAAATTGAAATATTTATAAAAACTAGAAGTAGTTATCTTTGTACTCTTATAATAACATAATCTACCTTGTAAAAGTAATATATACCTTGTTTGGAACAGATATTCGAAGAAAAACAGTTTTTGAGATGTTGCGTCCACTATCATGATCTATAACTAAAATATTACCTAATTCTTTAACAAATTCACTTAAAGCATGATTCAAAGAATCTTCCCTAGCCAAGTAATTTTTCACTGGAACAAAATAAAGAAGTTATTAAACTGTACTGAATTCATATCTCATAAATGGAACAAGTAACTAAAAATTTCTAACCTAAACAAATAGCATCAGTATACAAATTTAAAATATCCACTAATGAGAGTCCCAACACAGTGGTGTTAAATTTTCGGCCTTTCTTTTGAAGTGTGAGACATTCCTTCAAACTGGAAGAAGTCTCTAGAAATAATTGTGCAGCAGCTTCACAGTTTTCCTCAATCAAATATCCTGATTCATGAAAAGTTATTTGCATCAATAATTATTTAAAACTCATTGAATGTTTATCACATATCAACAACTGATAGTACATACCATAAACTAGTCTAGCAATTTCTGATGGTACCAATGATTCCATTTCCAATTACTAGACTTGGGTATAAAACATTTTTAATAAGCCTGAACACTTTAGATTCTATCCTACACAGAATAATTCATCCATTCCAAGCGTTGTGTAAACAAAAAACTTCACAAATATAACCAAGATGTTAGCGTTACCTCCTACTCCCGCCAGGAAACGATATCACTACATTTTAACAACTTTCTCCAACATAAGAACAGTCCACGATAAAAATTCTCAAATTCTGAATTAAAATAAACACTATGAGGATAATAAGTATATATGTTTGAATCTTGCAATACAATAGTAAATATAGATAAGGTAGATACAATTTATTTATCAATAATACAGAAGTGGTCACAGTAAAGGGGGGGGGTAAGGATGCAAACCTATCCTTAGTAATTAAAATTTGGGGGAGGGACCAAAATGGAATTTTGGATTGAATTGAAAAACCCATTTAGGGTTGTTCAATGGGGGATGCGATTCTTTGTTAAAGAAGTGATGTAAAATTTATGAATAATTGATATTTTTGTCGTTCATTACCTATCAACTATCTTGAAATTCAAAACGGGGTAGATGATACAAATAACCAATTTAGCTTAAATATATGCAATATTATTTAAAAATGAATAAATATTATTGAAGAAATATTTAATTTATCATTTTTTTAAAAAACTTTGTCACCAAACTGGAAAACAATAACCTATTTAATATGTAACCTTCCCTTTCCAGCGTTGGGGGAAAGCTTTAGTTCATTGTTGTAGTGTGCTGGGGAGTGACTAAGGACTTGTTGTCTTTTTGTGTGTTCGTTTTTTCGTTTGTTTCATTAAAATACACCAAATCTTATAATGGCTGATGAAGAATTTGATGGTGATGAGTAAGTTTATTATAACAATTTAACATGCCTGTCTTAAAAGATGGTTACACACTAATAGTAATTACTATATAGGTATTAATTCCTGTCCCTTTGTTAATCGATGTTATATTGCGTTTGAAATAAATTCGGACTATGTAGCTATTATCTCTTGAGATGCAGTTTAATTTAATTGTAATGGGTTCATCAATACTACCACATGTTCATCTAATTTGTTGTTAGGAGCTATTTAGTTATTGTTATTGTTTTTATTTTACTTACTTGCTTTTTACTATGTACTACATACTTAGAGGGTAACTAGTATGTATAAACTGCTGGTACAAAACGTTGAAGTCTTAAAAACAGTGTTATTATTGAAGTCATAAATTATACGTCAAATTCATCATCAAATTATTCACTCTCAAAAATACCTTTAGAACAAAATTCTCAAACTTACTTCAGCTGAATACTATGTTACTTGATTAACATTAGCACCAGATTATCAGTATGCAGAATTAATTATTGTAACAACAAATTGGGACTAGTCAGGACTTGATGAACCACATTTTTAATCATGAACCTTCCCTTCTCCCCTGGTCAATGATGTCCCGCTTAACGAATGTTAAAATCTTGTCACATTACTTAAGAATAAAATTAAAATAACACATAGTGCCCAAAACTGAGATCAAACAATGATCTCTACCCTGTGTACTTGTTTCTATTTTATAGCTCAATAAATACATAGTCAGGAATCCAAATATTATAAAAATCACTTTTATCATTAGTAGATTCATGGTTATGAGGCAGAAACCTATAGAATTTTATTGACTTGTTTATAAATAATTATTTACATATTATCAATTTTGGAAAAGTGGAAATTTCGATGTTGAGAGATTACCAGAGACTATAAAAAAGTGGTATTCATTATAATTTTTCAAAAATAAAACATTGAAAAATAATCCTATCTATTATAAGCATTTAGACATTGAAGAATAAAAGTGCATGAAATGTAATAAAACCTCAGCTATGTCTCGGGAATCTATGCACAGTGTGATCAAACTGATCTTGATCCACATATTACCGGATATGGTCCTTTTGAAGTAGTACTTGTTTTCCCTTTTGATTATAACATATTATATTAGAATGGCCTATATTTAGAAAGTTAAGGTTCGTTTTTAATATACTTTTCTATTTTGATTAATAATTACTTTTATTAACTTTTTATTTTGTTTGTTTGTAATGTACTTTTATATTTTGACTAATAATTGCCTTTATTAACTTTTTTTAGTGTTGGTGAGGACTTCGATGAAGTTGATGATGATGCTGATTTGGAAGATATTGATCAACAAGAGGTCAGTTTTTAATTTTTTTCGGAAATATTTCTTCAATGCTTCTTTGTATTATACATATAATGTTTTTTGTTTCATTTTTTAATTCACACTATAATTATAACTGGTAATACCCCCTCTCCCCTCTGAAGTAGACCAAGCATCCAGTGACAGTTGCCTTCAATACCTTTCTAGCATTAAAAGGGTATGTTTTGTTTAAAATCTGATGATTTTATTTAAGAATGTTCAAGTTAAATCATGAAAAAAAAATCATTAAGATTGGTATGAATTGCATCAATGTTACAGAAAATTTGCTTTTTCTTAACTTTTTAAAAATTACAGATGTTCGTCTTTCATATTAAGCCACTCATATGATTAATGTGTTTGTCACAGCTTTTATTTTATAAATTAGAATCTTTTTAATAAATTTTTTACTTTCCTACCTATACTAGGTAAGGAAAGTATTGCAATCGGGTCAAATTTGCGATATGCGGTTTTCGATGGATCTATACGTTTCAGAGTCTCCTGAGTCCGAAAAACACATTTTTAGCCATTGGTCTGTCTGTGCCAAGATTTTCTTGGGAACTACTAAACCGATTTTGTCGCTTCTTTTTTTATTTTGTAGGGTTTTGATTACTGATGTCTGTGACAGAAATTCGGTGCTCCATCCGCAATAGCTTGCGTGCAATAAATGAAAAACATGTTTTTCTATAGACTGTAGCGCGAAAACGGCTCTAACGATTTTGATGAAACTTTCCTATAATGTTCTAACCCCTGTCCTTTCAATTTTCGTATATAGATTAAATTCCCAAAAAAATTTAGGAAAAAAAGTTATAAAGAAAAGAACTATTTTATGAGGCCTAACTCCCTAAGTATATATTATACGGTAAAATTTATAATAAAACTTTTGAAAGGTAATTAAATTACCAAAAAAATCATCGGAATCGAACCAGTATTAGCGATGATACAGCTTTAGCTGTTTAGCCTGTCGTTTGAAAGGTAATGAAATTCTCTGTAAAGCCATATAAAAATCGTTCATTTTGGACAACTATTAGCGAAGTTACAGCTATTCAATTTCCAATGTAAGATTACGGGTTCATATCCTGGTATCAGAAAGGGATGAATGAGAGAATTTATTATTATATGATTAAAGAAGTCATTTTTAGATGACTAAGTGAAAGTAAGAAAATCTGTTGCCCGCATCACACAATCTTCACTATTTCCTCCACTTTTAACAGAAATTATTGTTTGACAATACTAAGCTATGGCAAAAAGTTTTTGATCAGCAATATTAGAGGGTATTGAAATTTCTATACTGGTCTACCTTAAGCGGGTTTACATTGCTTTAGTTTATCAAATAAATCATATTCAAATCTTTTGTTTGATCAATTTTCAGGAAAATAAATTAATTCAATTCGTTTTTATTTTCTCATGAACATATGTAAAGATGTAAAAACTTTTCTGAAATAGGTAGGAAAGCCGTGTGAGTGGACACACCAGATGTTTTTTTTATTTTAATGTTTTCAAAAACCTTAAAAAAACAATAGTCATGAAGTCATCATTAATAATGTCTTTATAGTTTACTACTCCATGGCAGCAATTGTTCAGTTAACATTTTAAAGTATTTTGTTCTTGTTCTTTTCACAACCACAGATACTTGAGGTTTTTTTTTCCTTCCTCATGTCAAAAACATTTCTTTTTTTCTGAGAAGGAGATGATCGGGGGGTGCGGTCAAATAAATACTAAATTATACAAATAGTATTATTTAATTTTTTCTGATGTTTCACCCCCCCGATCAACTCCTTCTCATATTATATCACGGTCAACCATCTCTACATCATTTTTTATTTTCACTTCTTCTATACCATAGTTTTATCTCAATCATTTGTGGGTGTGAAAATAACAAGAAACAATACAATTATAATTTTAACTAAACAATTGCTGCCATGGATTACTGGTACTGGTGGGAGGACTTGGGCTGCCATGGATTTGTAAACCACAAAAATAATTTTAAAGATAATTTTATGACCATTTATAAAAATTTTTTTAAGGTTTTTGAATATGGCTTTTAGGGCTAGAACTTTAAAATAAAAATAAAATAAATTTTTTCTTAAAAAGATTTTTTATTTATAAAACAAAACTGTAGGATTAAAAGAGGTCTTGTTTGTATATCCATTTAATATAATATATATTTAAAAGTCCCACAAAAAATGAATCACCTAATATAAAATAAAGCTGTTTTTACTTCACCACATTTATTCCACTTTTACATTGGCTCCGTTTCAGTTAGTAAGCAATTTTCAAATCATCTTTTACAATTTATCATTTAAATTGGTAAAAAGTTTGAACTAAATCATTCTGTAATCCACTAATGGTGCTTAAGTCTTCTTTAAATAATTTCCAAATCTCCTTAATCCTTGACCGATTTAGCCCACTTTTTTTTCTTCATATTTTTTCAAAAATTACAAAAGTCGCAATAACTTCGACATAGCTCCAGTTATCCACACGAAAATTAGCATGAATTTATACCCAATATACACAAAATGGCACAAACCAGAATCCCATAAATAAATTAGGCTTGGAGATAAAAAATAAAAAACGTTTAGGTAGTTTTTATTTATTCTATATAAAGACGGGAAATGTAAAAGTTATTGATATAGTTATTAAGAGCGATAATTTAGCTTTCTAATGGTTGTAGTAACGTTGACGAGAAAACTCTGAGGAGTTATGAATATTACAGCAAACAGCATAAAAAAAATCCAATTTATATTTTTTTATTTCAAAACAAACTCTTATTCAAGAGTTTTAGTAGACCCTAAAAAAAAATCTGAATCATTTTTTCATGACAATAATTTGCTTGTCTTTCTTTACTGGAAGCGTCAATGGGTTTTTGTAATTTATAATTATACCTTATGATTCATTTAATACAATTAGAAATATGTTTTTCTTATTTATGTAAAAAAAATAAATCGATTAATATATAATAATTTATAAATTCATGCAGAGCAAAATTATAAATTTTTTTTTTCTCGGCTCCTAGGACGCTGGGCAAGAACCCTCAGACATGGGGTGAATATTTTTCGACCTAGTATTACCAAAAATAGTTTAATTGAAATCGGTGACCCCACGTCCCTAATTTCCCCTTGTAAGTACTTTAACATATTTCCCTTCTCTAAAATGACAATATTGCCTTGTGTAAATATTATTAAAGAGTTTGTTTAACGTGTTGTTTAGTGTGTTTTTGCAGTGATGAATAAGATATAAATTGAAAAAAAAAATACTTAAAAATTTAGCTCCATGCAAATGCAATTATTGACTTTTTACCAGAAACTGATAATATTTAATAAGTGATATGACATTCAATAAGTGATGAGTTATTCTTGTGATTCTATTTAAGTTTTTAACTTTTAGGAGGAAGGTGAAAATATTGAATTATTGAATGTTGGAGATGGTCGAGCTGGAGGAGGTGTGCAGAAGCAGAACAGAATAACTACAAGGTTTATGACCAAGTGAGTTTAATTCTTGAATAATAATAATAAAATACAAAACTTAGTTATTTCCTGGATCTGTATTGTGTTTTTGAGGCCGCAGTTGTGTTTGTTTAATTTTGCAAGTTGCCAATATCTTGGTTTTTGATCTCATCCATAATGTTTTGATAATGTAGTACCCGGTAGTTACCATAAATAATGTAAGCTCCCTTTCCTCCATCCCATAGGTGCAAGAATACTTATAAAAATACATTAGTTCTTTTTGAGTTGTCTTTGTAACAGCGTCCACCGGATCTAGAAATCCTAAAAGTCAAAGAATTTTACAAGCTACGGTTTGCGAGTGTGAATTCATGATTCAGAACACTTTTGCTCATCAAAAGTTTACATAATGTTAAACACAAAAGTATACATACCATACGCCAAACGTATTAAAGTGTATTTGTTAATCAATGTTTTATTTTATTTTTAAAATAAATTATTCTTTAGAATATGATTGGAATATTTGGAATTTATCTTAGTTATTATATCCTTTGACAGTAAATTTTAAACTATCATTTAAAATCATTTGTCGATTGTTTATTATTCCATAATATTTTAGAAACAGAAAAAATGATGACTTGAAATTTTTCCAAAATGACCTGGAAGTCTTGGAATTCCGTAAAAAGATTTTAGTAGACTTTCTGTTGTATTTATGGAATGGAAAGATATATCTTCTTCAATGATTAGTCGCCAAATTCCCAAGATAATTGTGTGAATTTTGCGAACATAGGTTAGAGCCTTTTTTTTGTCCTCCCCTCCCTTTTACAATTTACAAATCTGGGTTTTCAACGGAAATACACGTTTTGAGGTCCCTTGAGTCCAAATAACCAAATCCTACTAAATAGTCTGTGTGTGTACAATTTTCTCGAAAACGGCTCTAACGATATTGATTAAATTCATTATGTCAGTGTAAAATCAAGCAATTTTTAATATAATGTAGGTTTCATTCTCATTGACTTAGATTGCTAATTTTTAATATTAGCTTCTCCTAAAGTACCTTTAATTTTTATTTGAAACAATTAATCATTCCACATTGATTTCTGTGATAAAAAATAGTTAAATATAAAATATGAAAGAATTTGATAATTAACTAAAGGAGAAATAACAGATCGTAACAGAGAATAGTTGTAATAAAGAAACCAAAGGAATACGAGTGCTCCAGAAAGATTAGAACAGGCTTCCATATGTTACATGAGCTTAATATAATACGGACTCTGACAATATTATGTATATATACATATGCGGTTTTCATAAATGCCATTGTTGGTATTATTTAATATTTAATTGTATTGATTACTGCAATATAAATATTAAAATTTGTATATATAAGGGTACTTAAATAAATACAAATATCCACAATGAAATATAAATAAATGCACAGTCTATAATTTTTACTTTCACTTACTCTTTGTCTGGAAATACTTATTTCTGCTAAGAAGAGGGTGGTAAGTCAAAGTTGAGTGATGCGAACACCGCACCAGATTTTTTATTTGCTCTTATAAATTAATCTTACATATTTTAATGTCATGTAACAAAATGTTTAAGAATTGCAATTTGTTCCAAAACTAATATCGTAAGAAAGTATACGTAGTAAGAAAGTATTTACTAATTTTTTTATTTTATGCTTAATGGTTCTCTGACCACATGGATTAATCTTATTTAAAATTTATTAACTTTGAACAAACCTAAGCAATTAAAGTTAAATAAAATGGCTTCTTGTGGATGTTGTTAAAAAGCAAAAAGAATGTTAGACATTCTATTATTAATTTCTTATTTTCTCTCTACCTATTAAATTTTGTTTTCAGGGTAGAAAAAATTCTATATTAATGAAAATAAATAAGACCTTGCATGATATGCAGTGAATATTATAAATTTACATTTTATTATTTGTTTATAGGTATGAAAGGGCGAGAGTACTTGGTACAAGGGCTCTTCAAATAGCTATGTGTGCTCCGGTAATGGTTGAAATAGCAGGAGAAACAGATCCTTTACAAATAGCGATGAAAGAGCTCAAAAATCGTAAGATACCCATCATCATTAGGCGTTACTTGCCAGACAACAGTTATGAAGATTGGGGAATAGATGAACTTACGATTAATGATAGATAAAGACATTATTCAACATTTAAATGTTCAAAATATTATAATGTATATTTTTATGATTTGAGAAACTCTGTGACTGTAATTATTTTTTTATCACTGAGTCAATTTGTTTAATGCTGAAGACCTTCAACATTTTTGCTGTGACCTGTTTAATTTTTAGTTCTGTAAATATTAAATAAATCTTTTGTAATATATATATATTTTTTATACCTATGCAATAATGACAAATTGTCCCTTTCTGTATAAGTTAATTTTATAAACATTTTTTGTATTCTGTTATAAAAATTCAAAACTCCCAAGTTCTAAAATTTTACAAAAGATAATAAATACAAAAACGTGTTCAAGTTTACCATGGACAGAATAAATTCCTGACCATCCTGCGTTCTAAATAAATATTTATTTTGGCCATATTATAAACTTTACAAAAATTGTTGTTTAAAAAAAAATGAATAAGTAGTTATTTCCTTATGTTATTAGATGCCTGAATTATTCTGCTTTTTTTTCCTCATCTGATAACATAGACAAAAAGAACAAACATGTTACAAGTAGAGCTGCTAAGTTAGATCAAGTAGACTTCATTCACAAGCTGTACACGTACACTTGTTTGAAACTATGTGTCATTTTTGAAGAAATAAATATATTCTGTCTAAAAATATATATCTAAAAGCTGAAGAATGGGATTAAAATAGAAAACAATATATTTGTAGTATGTTTTATATTTTTATTTTAAATTTAGTATAAACACATTACACAATGCCGCTTCACCTACTTAGTCTAAAATCATTAAGAATAATAAATAAAATTAAAAAATGCATTCTCCATGAGGCACATATATAAAGCACTTTCATTTATTTATTTTTTTTTGTTGAGAATACCATACAATATTAATAAGAGCTATGTATCTATGCTAAAAAGTATTACTCACACTTTCTATAATCTAAGAAATTTAGGGTAATGAATTCTAATTCTTTTAATAATGTATATCTTTGGAACTTCGAAACTTACTCTTTAAATAGAAGAGGAAATTATATCTATTTTATCACATAAATTAGAAGTAAATCAATAGATAGCTGAGAAAAAACTCTTACCAGTATCTAAATTATAATTAAAAATTAAAAGTAATATATATTATTTACAGGAGTTGAAAAAAAAAAGAATTATTTATTGGTTTTCCAAATATCAAATAGTGTAACAGATAAAATTTTAATGTAACAATATTAATTCAATTGGATTTGATAGTTAAATGTGACTGTGTGTCACACACACGTATATACAAAGAGTTAATATTTAAATACAATAAGTAAGTGTGTTTTACAGAATGTTACACAAAACATCTAGTTTATTCCAGAGATTATAGTTAAGATAGACATTTAAACACAACGTTACACTAATGCTGAATAAAATATTTATTTATTATTGCAATAAAATATATTTATAGAATAAACATTTGTATAATCTTCATTTTAGATTTCTTCCATATGGTAAAGTTATTTGTTTTTATATTATTAATATTTTATTGAAAAGAAGGTGAAAATTCTGCCAATGTACATGTGGTATATTAAGCAGCCTAACGAGTTGCCAGCAGAAGAGCCACTGCAGGCACAAAAACAAATGCAGCAGCGTGGAGTGCACTGCTTCCATTGCATTCGTCGGTGGAACACTCACCGCAGAATATGTCTGTCTGTTCTTTCTGTTGTCCTGTGATAACATCACAAACTTTTGTTTGCTCCAGGGTACAACCTCTTTGGACGACTTTCTTCTCCATATCTCCATTTTTAACTTAAAAAACAAAAATCAATTTAGTTAACTTGTTCAAAAATAGTTAGGAATATTAAAACATGTTAAATTATGATCAATTATAATATAATGTAATTATAAGTTGCTCCACAAATAGAGTGGTATACTTTGCAAAAAATTATATTTTTCAGAATCATTTTACTTTCAATTAAATGTTTATAAATTGTTGCGAGTCAAATTCAAACTAGAAACAACTACATCTGTATAGTGTATTAAACTATTTGAGACAAAAAGGAGGATTAATTGAAAGAAATATGGAAGTCCTTTAGTTTCCTAGATTTTGATACTTTTTTTTAAAATATAATTTTTACACCACTATATCTCGCACACCAATAAATGGGTAGAATTATCAACAGACATTAAATTATTCCTAACGTTTATAAAATTTTAAATTAATTTTGTGTCTTAGTAGAGGACACAAAGTATGGATAATCACTAGGACTATTGATATATTGATAGCACTATCCTCCATTGCCCAACCCTATTCTAGGGATTAGTTTCTTAGAAAGAGTTCTTGCTGGTTGTTGTTCATATTAGTCCAAGTCCAAGTATTTTACATTCCTTAAGTGTCAGTTGTACACAAGAGACATATCTTTTTTGTTTAAGAGGTATTGCTTTTGAATTTTGATGAAGAAAGAGGGTATCCTTCAGTAATATGAAAATCTAATTTTGAGATAGCTTTTAAGAAACTATTTAGAGGGAATACCCACAAGATTCTATTATTCACCTTGATTTTTGGAAAATTGGTCTAATAAGTTGCTGGGAATGCTGGAAGAGGTGCTGTTCCCCACCTGTGAATATGTCGATGATCTGACCGTTATGTTGGCCTCGAACAGCAGAACCACTCTGAAAGATTAAGCTTTTTTTATGTTCTTCCCTATCTCGCCTTTTAGGCTATACGGGGTTTTCCCGGGTCAGGGAATTTGAAATTCTGTCCGTCACTGGTTGCCAGGCAACTCGCAGTGCTGTGCACATGTGTTAGCCCATTCGGCCACCCCGCCCCCCAAAAGATGAAGCTGACCAGTGCGAACCGAAAGAAAGAAGTTGAGGATGGCTGCTGCCAATACTCAGACCATATTTCTGAGAGGCATGACTGATAGGGCTCATTCTTTAACTATGGTTATATATGGTATATGGTTTGGAACAAATTCAACATTGAAAAAAAATTCAATATACTTCACTTGGATTATTTAAGGAGCAAGGTGACCCTTAATGGACTCGGTCACCAGCTTTAATGACTGGGCCAGTGAAGAGCCCAGCAAATGGAAGAAAATTGTAAAGAACTGCCTTGAAAAATAGAGCCAGGAGTTGGTATCAACCTCTGGAGAGTCAACCTTGAGAAAATATTTTCCTATAATTTTGTCGCATTGTGATTAGGGTCTCATAGCTACTCATGGGGTATGGGTGTTTTAGAGTAAAGCACTTGGAAAGAACACCAACCCTGTATATCACTGTTGCAGGATACCGGAGACTGCCAAACACATCAATATAGCCGCTACGATGATATAAATGATTTTTTCAGTGTGCTGCATTCTTTAATAGGAAAAAATAAAGTATTTGATTTTTGAAAAAAGTTAAAGATAAAGACTTTATCTTTTAAAAAAAGTTAAAAATAAAGGCTGAATAAAAATCATTTTTATTCATTTGGCGATCTCTAGATGACGAAGCTTTTCATTAGACATTAATTTCAATTATAAATATAGATTAATATAAGACTGTATCCAGTAGCCTGTCCAGCTATTATCAAGGAATTTCAACTAAAGCAGAAATATAATCCTTTTACAGATGAATGTAGTGCTACAAGATCTCAGAGCAACTGAAAGGATTTAATCGAAATCAAATTCTCTAAAGCGTATGCAAATTTTTCCTAATAGCAAATTGCTGCGCAGATTTTATATCAATGGTAAGGTTTTTCCCTCTACGTTTAAACTACCCTTAGGATTTAAATTTACATAAACAGTTTTTTAAAGTAGATCTCAACATCTGTATCTTCATTCAGTCTGTCATTCCAAGATGATACTGTGAATGTTAAAATTTTGAAGTTCTAGCTGAAGTACAAAGGCAAAAGAATTTTTAAACATTGTTTTTAGTGTTATTTAAATATTTTTTAATTTCTAATATATAATTTCAGATGAAAAATATTAAAAACGACAACACTATGAATTTTTGCCTTAACTACAGCTTGATTAATAGAACAATTGCTTGATTTTTTAAATTCTCTTTTCAGCCAAAATAGGGTTATTATAATTAATAACATTTAATTTATACATTTTTATCATTATTAAATTTCTGAATATTTTTTAGTATGAATAAAGTTGCAATATACATTTGAGCAAAACATGACCATTCTGAAAAACTATTGGTAATGAAACCAATAAAGGCCAATCTATATCTATCTCAATAAACACTTTTTATAAATGAACAATAAAAATAATTAAAACTGGTATACCTGTGTAAGAGGCCTTAAAGCAAGCAAAACTAGCTACTGGAGGTTTCTCCAATCCCAGAATATTAGAAACTCCCTTAGAAACAGCATTGAATGCATTCATAGCAGTATCTGTTAAGTCGCTATTACACATTTGAGCTTGCACACCACCATCTCCTGTCTTAATTGGGTCTGCACAATTTGGATTTTGTTCTGAGTTGCATATATAGCATGAGAGTTTGTTGGCAGCTAGAAAAAAGAAAAAAATTAAAATTTAGAGCATTGAAAGCAGTTTAAAAAATTAAGTGATTATTTCTAAGTAAATTAATTTATTTACTTAAAAACATTTACATTTAAAGAGTGTTTATGAATATAAATATCTGAGTATTGTTTTTGTATTGTCTTGTAATGTAACATAAATAATTTATGATTAATTTTAAACAACATATTTTGGACCTCTAGAATAAAAGGTAAAAATGTTGGACAGACCTTGGCTACACCAAGTCCAAGGTCTTATGAGTGATCTTTATTTTTTTTTTTTTACATTTTTGTTCACAATCTATTTTAAGCCATGATTTAATAGTATACTTTACCCAATAAACCCTAAAAAATATGGCTTTCTTTAGAAAAATTGGAAAACTTAGTCTTACGAGTAGTTGATGAATGACAAAGCTGTCTGTGTAATGTATTTTTTCATTCCTGAGAAGCTGGCATATCTTTAATTATGCTGTATTGTTTAAAATGCTATACTTTAAAAAACATGATCAAATATTCAGGATCTCTTCATTGTCATATTCCCTTCATTAAGTCTTCTAATTATTAGTTATACAATTGAAAATGTTAAGTAATAAATCCAGAGGATGAGATATGGATCCAAATTGAATACACAAGATTTTCTGTAATTTTATTAAAAATAAGAAATAATTCATATAATTTATTATTACAACTAATCCTCAACTGAACAGCAAGAA